TCGTGGTTTGGCTACTCCTGGTATATAACATTAAACGCTAAAAAATATTAATATATTAATAAACCGAATAATTTCCTGACATAATACATAAAAGTATTAAATTAAATAAAAAGCCTTCGACTGATCCACCGATATTTTCCTGGTTAATTTATTTTTTGTTCAATCCAATAATTTCAAATGAATAATGAATTGGAATGATTGGATACTTTTTTGTATGTAATATATTTTTTTATTCATCGTAATATTTAAAAACTTCGTTTTTGACAGAAACCAATATTATTATTTATTCTTGGTAATATAATAATATAAAAATCTTCAATGCATTTAATAGGTAAGTACCTGGTACACACAAAACCTTCTTAGCAGTTATTTTTACTTAAAAATAATTTACTATAAAGGCTTAAACCATAAGCACAAATATGTACAACTCTTCTGAAAAATTACTAATTTTGTGATAAATTAATGCATTTGAAACATTCTTAGCTACTTAACTAGCATTTTGTTTTTCAAATGAAATACTTTCAATCTTCAAATTGGAATTTATAAAAGTAACAGATACATACACCAAAGTCCGAGATAAGTTGAAAATACTTGGCTCTTTATTATGTCTGTCTTTTTATCTTAAAATGGTTTCCATTGAATAATAATCTACGAGTAAAGGTAAACATTATACGTATATTATAAAAATCATCAATAACATTTTCATGACAATTATTTTTTTATTTTGTGCTCCTTATAATATTAAAACCAGGAAAGTTATTAAATATTATATAATATATTATTTAAGTTACATATACATCATTTATAATAATATTATTATATTATTTTATATCATATAACACCGAGATGAGGTAAATTTTGCGAAAATATTGTCAAATTGTCATCATTTCAGGAATGTATATTGTTTTTTTACACAATTATAGTGACTAATTACCAGCCATAAATATAATATATTGTGTATATATATATATATTTATATATATTATGTTCAATTTGCTTAAAATATAATTGAAATTTAATAACTAACAAATAATGTGACAAACGATTTGAACAAGCGGGTAGACTGTAGATCTCAATTAGGGGCGGTTCTAGAGACTTGGTTGGGGGGACCTAATAGTTGTAATTTTCACAAAACTTATAACAACAAATATAAAACAACAATTTTTACAACTTTTATTATTTATTTTTAGAATAATAACAGTACAATTCTTATCAAGACAATATTCTTAGTATTTCCCCAAGTTATTTAGTATTCTCGTAGTCCACACAGATAGTAGATGCATGTTACAACTCATATACCGACGTACCTCCAATAATAACATACTTTTACGCGGGTCTATAATAGTCGATACTATAATATGTTTTTTTGTTAGTAATTTTTTGTTAGCAATGTACAATTTTTTAGAAATACGGGTTTTGAGCCTTGGGGGGCCTGGCCCCTAGGGCCCCCCCCCCTGGAACCGCCCCTGATCTCAATACGGTCAGAATGATCGAACTCAGTTTTTCTTGCAGTGCATTTTTTATTTAACTTGCATACAGCCATATAGGTACTAGGTATTATTGCAATTTTATGATGTAAAAGTTGACAATGAATGCCTTATGATACAATAGAACTATTGTACATTGTAATTACTTAGCACTTTTCAATTAATTTGAAAGATAATAGATTCCTACCTTCCTACTTGACTATACGCACGTTAAATCAAAAATGTATTAATAAAATCTATAACTGTGGTCAAAACTACAAAAAATAAATACATAACTCTTGTGCACTCCTTTCAAGCTGAAGACGTAGCGTTATTGGACGCCCCTTCAATCAAGCCGTCAAGCCTTGTAAAATTCGAATACAAATTACCTATTGTATTTTTTTTTTTTGTGTACAGTTTGTAGATATTCTTTTAAATGATAATTTTAAAAAAAACTCTTGTTCGATATTTTAGTAGACACAAACTTATAATTGCCTATATAAACTATTACAAATTGTGTAATGAGAAAAAAAACAGTCGAATAACTCGACGTACCTACTTTCGTCGAACTTTAACATAAATAAGCCGAATCAAATTAATTGCTGGCTTTTTATAAATATTTCAATGACTGTCTAGTAATTAGGTACCTAAATTGGTAACACACAGAAAGATAATATTCAAGCACAATACTTTTTAAAAAAAAACTTGTTGCAATTTTTGCAATATGTAGAAACTTAAAAATTAGAGCTTAGAAAAGCGGGCCAAAACGATATAATATCTCTGACCCCACTATACAATTTCAGGGGGACAACTACTCCTATTTCCTCCCCACTCCATCATCAAAGATTACGAAATGCGTTTCGTCAAGTGTAGTATAAATACTATAGTATCAATAATATCAATAGCATAGAGAGAAATTATTATCAACTACTTTGGTACCATTAGGTGTATAATGATATGTTTAGAAACAAATAGCACCATCTCGAGTGAAATTGAACTGATATAATAGTACTGTAAAATAGTATGTTTCATAACGCTATATTTTACGGTTGACAGGCAACAGATGTAGTCCAACAAGAAATGGCGTTAACGCAATAGCTCTTCGTTGTTATTATAATATTGTGATACTGTACATACAATATTATATTAATATGTTCGGCAAATCACGTCATAACTCAAATTGGAATATAACGTTATTAGCCGAACAGTAACTTTATTTGGCTATACATTTGGTGACTTGGATCATCGAGTTTTAGTGGATAGCACATTCGCACAAACAGAGCTTTATTAAGGCTAGGTACGTATAAAATTTAAAATATTTTAGAGTCAAACGAAAATTAAATGTCAAAATAAATAATTATTATTGTAATTGAAATCTGAAATATCATATACAATATACATGTATAAGAATATAGACTATAGAGGTATAAATATAGATATTCATTTGTATACAATATACATAGATACACGAAAATAGAAATTATATTAATATCACAATAAATAGTTCCTAAATTTAGAATTTTGTTTTCACAGACATATCTGCTAGTTGTTAATATCATATCATATCATGTTGAATTGTTGTACTATTTTAGGAATTATTTCTTTCAACTAAAATATGTCCAACTTATTTTGTTTTTTTGGTTGCAATAAAAATTCAAAATGATCTGTGTTTTGTTGTCCCAAAAATGTTGTACTTAATGCCCAATGGAAAAATGTAATTACAAAATGTTGGGATAAAACATAAAGATAATTTGTGAAAAAAACATTTTAACTCTGATGATACAGAACGACAAGTGATTAAAAAAGATCAAGATAGAAAGATTATATTTCTTGTGAGTATCAAAAACACAAAATGTCTTTATTGTTTTCATATTTTCCGACCTACACATAAATAGTAATAAAATATTTAAAAAAAATTGGTATTGATTGATTGATTATTGCCACATATTGTATTAAGAGGACGCCACACCCGCATGCGTTGTCTCCGTCTTACAAACGAGTAACATACCAAATTTACGCTCAGCAGTTCAAGTTTTATGCCGTTATCTTATAAATTAGAGTGAATTAACCTATTATGAAACTTGATGGTGAGAACTTTATCTGTGTTTTGTTGGAAGTTTTTTTACAATAATTCAGTTTTTAAGTGAGTTATGAGCATTTTTAATTTACATTTATTATACAAGCATACCTCGCTTAAAAACTGAAGTATCGTAAAAAAAGCTTCCAACAAAACACGGATAAAGTTCTTACCATCAAGTTTCATAATAGGTTAATTCACTCTAATTTTTAAGCTAACGGCATAAAACTTGAACTGCTGAGCGTAAATTTGGTATGTTACTCGTTTGTAAGACGGAGACAACGCATGCGGGTGTGGCGTCCTCTTAAGAATATTTCAGTTTCATACAGTGGTGGATTTGATTCGTCTTCTAGGGGGGAGGGGGGGAATATCCATTTTGTCCAAAAATGATACTACTTTTTAACCTACAGAGGAAGAAACATGTAATAGGTTGGTATGAAGGTAAAAATGTAAAATAAATATTTATATTAAAAAATTTAAATGGTTAATTAACATATACAAATTTATATATATTATAAAACTATTTACATCCTACAGAGGCCATGATTATAATTCTTAGAACTTCTATACAGATTTCTGAAAAAAATTATTATTTATACGTAGTTTGATGTCTAGGGAGGGGTCATGGCCCCTATGCCCCCCCCCTAAACGCCGCGCCTGGTTTCATACATAATTTTGTAAAGGTGTCTACTCGAAAGTAACTTTTTTCTTTAGAAATTTTATCACGCCATCACAACTGTTTAGTTGCTAATTTTTTCTTAAGTACAAATTTCAAACTCTATTTATTGCTTATTATTGGAGCACTCCCCAATTTTCCAAGGGCGTAATTTTTGTGAGTAATGCTTTTTAACATTTTAGTGATTCACTTAAACAGTAAAATATAAACTTCAAATAAATTGGTCTCTTGGAGCAGTGAATATTGTTTATAACTATAATTACCTATGTATTTATTTTCCTATTAATGTAGTTTGTCATAACACAGGTAATAGGTATATATAATATTTTATACTGGAAATGTTTATTATATACCTAACTAACACAATCAAAAGTATAGGATACGCGTAATATAATAATAATTTTTACAACACGATTTTTTTTTTATTCTAGTGAAATAAATAAATGAACAAACACTAGGTAGTTATTAATTAAGTACCTCCTATTAACTTAAAAGTATTATTTAACACATTTAAAATTTTAAAAACAAATAACGAAGTAGTGAACAAATTCAGTATTTCACGAAATGGGAGGTTGGTACTTTATATTGTCCAGTATTACGTGAATTGAACCGCTTGGCTCTGGCGTAGCGGAGTGTAATATTATAATGAACATAAATAACTATTATCACTTAAAAAATATAAATTATTTAAATTTAAAACCATCTCATAATTAATACAACTATAGTCTATAACCATTAACCCGTCTATAAAATATGAACATCGTAACAGAATTATAATATTGACTGTATAATGTATGTAAGGGAATTATAAAAATTAAAACAAAAACAAAATTTTCCGATCAGGAAATCGGAAATCGAGATTCACCTACAGCCGCATATTATACAGTAGGATAATTCACCAAACATACTCAGCCCTTTTTTCTTCAATAATGCAGATATTTAAATTCTGAGTTTCGGAAATCTTAAGTATACTCAAAAATCATATTTGGAAAATAGAACTTTGTTTTGCCACAAGAGACTCCTTAAGCTAGAAAATATCGGTTTATTTAAAAATTCCAAAAATCAGAACTTGAAATTTATTATTGAGTGTGCTTGGTGAATCACCCCATATATTATATTATAGTACAATATTGTGTTGTATAACATAACGCGATGATGAATTTTATTCAATGTTATTCCTGTAACCGTGGTACTCAAATCTTATCGCTCTGGTCCTCGGTCGTGCTATCCGCTTTCGCCACGTCGCACTCCTGTACCTGATCATTGCTCACACTGGTGCCATTATCCTCGTCCTCACTGTTCAACGTGATATCACGGATTGACGGTCTGGGCCCTCGTCGCCACTGTTCGTTGCTGGGCTTGGCCTTGGTCAGCAGCTTGGGGCCTGACAGTGAGACGATGATAGCACCCGCTGGGGCGGTCAACAGGATGGAGATAATGCACACCATCACGATCGTCCGGGAGTATCCGATGTGTTCATCATTTTTGTTGTTGGAAGCAACCTCCAGTACGGCCGGCCCTAGAGCGGCCTAATAACGATACCACGAGAATTTTTTGAGAAAAATAAGAGATGGTGAATTATAGTGGGTGCGATTGAATAATTAAACTCGATAACGACAAGATAACCAGTGAATAAAAATATAGTTGATACAATACTATGGTTTGAGGATGTTTTTACTTCTTTTCAAATGAAATTTGTTTTAATAATTAAAATGAAATCACCTTTGCGCTGTCAGCAATAATTTATTTAGTTTTTTAATTGCAAATCTCTTAATTTGGTGGGCTAATATTAGATCAACACTATACTGTATAAAATTATAAAAATAAAATAAAGTCATTATTTACTTGAACAGATGCTTTGGCCATCCACGACAACGCAATAAACAGTTTTTCTTTAAAATTCAGAGAGCTCCCGGAAGCTACTATGATCGTTATAAAAATCCGTGTCTGAAACGAATAATTAAATGCAATGAATTATTTATTAGGCCCGATTTCGTATATTGTGAATAATATAGAATAAAAAAAAAAAATAATAGTATTATTGTTATTTATTACATTGAATGGCAAGATAAAAACTCATGTGTCACATTCAATTTTAATTTTTGAATATAATTTAGGTATTAATATTGGTTGCAACAACCAATATAAATACATGGTCGACTGTCACTTTTATTTTTACGTACCACAAAAGCGATGGCGACACACATAACAGTTGCCGTTACGAATTTCAGGTCAAGTTCTTTGAGTACAATTTGTGTGCCTGTCAATCCAAACAGTATTGGTTCGCAAATCATCCAAAATATTTCAAAAGCTGTTGCCACTGGGTTCTAGCATAAAATCAATCGACAATATTATCACGTTAAATATTTTATGAGTAATGAGTATGATAATGATGTAAGATGTAACTCGCTTAACTTATAAAAATCTCAAACAGATAATTTGCATGTCACCAATATTAAGTCATTAAAGTAACTACCTACTTGACATTATATGTTTGAAGCAATTGAACAATTTAAGTTTAGTTATTTCGGGCTATTAGTTTTTGTAAACATAGATACGTGAAAAACATGACCTAAGTACGTACTACGTCGAGTACTTGACTAAAATTACCCGTGTGTAACTTTGATTTATAAAAAAAAGTTTATGTTACAAAAATTTTACATAAAATAATGGTAAATTTGTGAAATGTTTAAAAAACATTCATACTTCATACATTATACATTTAATGTACGTAATCTATACATATAGACTTACAATGAACGATACATTAACATTTTTTAAAACATTAAGAAACTTTTTCTGTTTCATAGTTCTTGAGTGATTTGGATATTGGATGCATTCAATTTGAATTCAAAGCTAAATCATTACATATTATGAAAAAAAATTCTAATCAAGGTAGCGTCAGCTTTCATGCTTAAGGACTTTTTTTATGCAATATTATAGCTTAGTTGACATATGCCATATATATGCATTCGATAAATACAATTTGTCCTTATGTTTATCATATCTAATATTGAACTTTATTCGACTATATTGTGAATTAATAATAGTTCTATAGTTATATAATACTGAAGTGATTTAATCAATAATTTTGTCAATGTACTGTGTTGGTTGTGCCAAATAACTGGAAATTAATTTTAAATTGTTTGTTTGACGGAAAAAACTTCATGCTGTCAACTTTTATAAATAACATAATATTTATAGTAGACGAATAAAAAAAATATTTAAAAAATGTTATGTGTATTTTGGACGATAAAGAGGGAAATTATAATGTATTATTACAAAATTGTTTATAATTTACAAACATTATATTTTAATGTGCATTTATGCACTACCATTAAACCATTCACTATGAAGATACAGAGTGGCAGTATAGACATACTTGTAAAAATTACACAGCATCGTATGTGTTTATTGGCTTTTATTGTTATACTGTGTAAATATTTCAACTTTTTAATAAAATGGTAGATAAATCTGTATACTTGTTGTTGATTGAAGTGATTCAATATTTTTATATTGTAAATGTGATATTAATAACATAACTGCATGTAAGTGAATAGTTACTTCGGTTAGTACTCAAAAACCCATTTAAATTAGTAAATTCATTTTTTCATATTATTGATATTTTAAAATTGCTGTAAGAACAACTTTAAAAGTACACATAATTGTACAACTTATTTTAAAATAATCTGATAATAGCAATAATTAGGTATAGGTACCCTTTTACCTATCTAGTAGGAAGAGCACTTGACTTTTAAAGTTTATACTATGTCGATAATAATCAATTAATTTGTAATTATTAATAATAATGCTTTTCTATTTTTTGTTTAATATTCTAAAAAGGTAACTCCATATTTCCTATACATTATCAATACAATAACATACCTTGTGCTTTGTTACTAGAAATAATTTTACCATTATCTTCATTATTATAATTGTACTAAACCATTACCCAATTGTTATATTATATTGTTTTAAAAAAACATTAACTTTTAAATGTATGTCATTTCAAAACTATTATTTGTACTTAACCATTAACATACATCTTCAATATTCCACCCTTGTTTAGTCCAAAAATAAATTGAAGTGAACGATGAGATGATCACTGCTAATGGACCTGCGCCTTCTAAACTTGTACGTTCAAAACCCAATACAGCTAATAATCCACCTCCAGATAACATTAAAATTCGAAGTGGCACCACGTAAGGCTATATAAACAAAACAATAATCACAAACGATAAATTAATTCGTCAAGGAAAAACTTAACTTAAAACTCATGTATTATTAATAATAATATGATAAATTATTAAATTATTAAAATAATATTATTGATTGATTGATTCAAAACAAAACATAGTGTACATTATTAAAGTATTATAAAAATACTCCCTACCGTATATTATTTTTAACAACTATAACATTTCTTACAAAATAAGTAAGTACAGGGGCGCCATTTGGGGGGGAGCAGGGTATACTTTGGCTCCCCTATTATTTTCTGTGTCTTATTGGCCTGGATTAAAATTTAGAATGCGCCGACGGCCGTCCCGAGCCCTAATTCTCCTGCTCTCGCACTCAATCGTGCACGACGGTCGCCGATCAAAACTTTCAATAAGTCTAAGTATAAGTATAAGTATTTTTGTATAAGCATACACCGATTGGCGATTTCAAATAAATTGTATGTAAACATGTATATTATAGTGGTGCCAATTGGAACTGGCTGTATATTATGGTTCACAAAGGACTGACGGCACTGTACGCACGTCCCACACCGGTGGTTGTTGGTGGGGGTATACGGTCGACGGACGACTGACGGATTAGTGATTAGTAATCACTGATTACTGGAAAATACATTCTTAAAATAGATCGAAAATGAAATGAAAGCTTATTGATATTAATGATACCGATTTAAGATTGAACAGTGAAGAGTGAAGTTTTCACATGTTAACGTAATTTACGTAAAAACGTAAAGTGTTGTTATTTAGTTATCGACTATTTAATTGTTTTTTTAATTTTGTCATCATGAATGTTGAAAATGAAAATAAGAGAAAAGGCGGAGCTGCTCGTTTGCGCGACAAAAACAAAAAAAAAAATGATTGAAATATCATCCAAATGCTACAATATAGAGCAAATTTTTACAAAAAATAAGCAGTCAACAATTATAGTAAGACCAGTAAGTATATTTTTAAATTTCATTAAAAAAGTAGTCGATGAAAAAGTGTGTTTTTACTTGCTGGTAATTACAAACAAATAACAATTGTATTAGCAGTTGTAATATATTTATCATGTTAATTAGTATTTATAATAATTTTTAATATACTAATTTATAGATTGCCAACGTTCCTGTTATTTTACCAACCACAGATAATACAGTTTTAGAATCAAATAACAACTATTTCAATGAAGAATGTTTACATTTACAAAATTTTTTAAATCATTACAAATATTTTAAAATTAATGTATTAAAAATTCCATCTGAATTTACTTCTGCAAAATCGTTGCTTCAACAAAAAAATATTGTTCAACCAGATTTAAATTCAATTATTGATACACTCAAAAAACTACCAGCAGCATTTTCAGAAACATTGAAGATACTTCAAATTATAAACACTCTTCCAGTGAGTACTGCATCAAATGAAAGGTTTTTTTCTTCACTCAAAAGAGTAAAATCTTATCTAAGATCTTCAATGGGTGACGAGCGTTTGAGTGACTAATTGGTCATAGCGGTAGAAAAAGAAGATGCTAACAAAATAGATTTAGATGAGGCAGTAGATAGATTTTCGAAACTAAAAAGTAGAAGGTATAAGCTAGAATAGTATAATTAATTTAAAAAACTTATGAATACTGTACGTCTGTAACTGTATGGAATATTGTATTATTATTAAATTATTTATTATATTAAGTAAATAAATATAATTTATTCATTTTATTTGGAATAAATTGCATTGATTAAATGTAGATACCTATACCTGTACGGCTGTACATATGTACCAAAAGGCAAACAAATTATTAATGAATAATTTGAATTCATTAAAATATATTCTTCAATAGCCTAACCTAAATGATATTAAACGATATCTGCATTTACTATTTTTAAAAATGTGGCCTGACAAAAAAAAAAAATTGGCCTGCTTAAATGTTGGCACCCCTATTATAAAACTCAAATGGCGCCCCTGAGTAAGTATCTAACAAGTTCTATCCTAGATCCTAGTCACTTGTCCCTAACATATATACATGTCTTAATATCTTATATTTACATTAATATAAGTAATTACATTTAAATACTTCAGAGTTAGAAATATTACAAGAACAAAATCATTTAAAATTAATTATACTCCATTTATAGTTTCTAGAGCTCTAGAACTTAACGGATATAAATAAAATTTGATGTATTTTTAATAATTTATTTTTTAATACTTACATCAGTTCGTTCTGGAACGTATTTAACAATAAAACCCCAAACTAAACCGTACAATATCCCAACTGCTATTGATACTGGACTTAACAATAAATCATAAGTAATTGAATCTGAAATACATAAATATTTATTAGGTAATACTGCAATAGCATATAAAAATAACGATAAAAAAACATAAGAACTGTTTTGTTTTTGCATAAAAATATAATTTTAAATAGCAAAACATAAATTATGAGTTTACTTTAAATAGCACGGAATGTGGAACTATAAACAAAATAGGTTCAGATATACAGTATACACATACGACATAACATTAGCAATGGCTTGATTAAATTTAACATTCAAATGATAATATTTTACGTTTTCACTACAAAAATATGTATAAAAATTACACGGTTATAAAATATGACCTAAGAAATATTATCCAAGTAGGTACCCGCAGCAAAAAAATTATTATATTTTATTTAACTATATTATAATTCAAATTTGGCGCCTACTTGCATTAAAGAAAAATATTGCAGTTAATTTAGTTTATTACTATGTTTATTACAAACATTTTATAGGCGTACGTACTTGTTCCAAAAAGCATGCTGGTGCCCACTCCAAAAGCTATGACGGATGCGGCGTCATCAATCCCAGCGACTGCTATGATCAACGTCGGGATCCCTTTGGCCACACCGTAACCCTTCGTCCTCAGACGAAATAGGCAAGGGACTACTACAGCCGGAGCCACGGCGGCGATGATCGATCTACGACAGTGGGTAGGTGCCAAAAGTCGTGTTACAATATAGGTATTACGATTGGTATACGATTACTGTGTTATTACATCGAAATCGTTAGGTATGCATAGAACAGAAATATTTAGTCGAATAATAACTCATTATAATATTATACGATACTCACCCGCAAAGTATAGCGAACGACCATGGTAAACTCAAAAAATAGTGAACCGTCACGGCGATTACGGCTGCTTCGGTACACCACGGGACGAGAGCAAGGAACAACACTCTACAGTATAGTTTTTTCAACGCTACTGGGTCCAAGTCCAATCCCGCCCTCGTGAATATTACCACTAAAGCTATTTTTCTGAAAAAAATGCCAACTTTCAATGTACACGTATGGTTATTTATTTAAATGATGGTTAAGTATAATTTATCAAGGAATACGTAAGACTTATAGATTCAACGGTGAGATTGGGTGGCGAACAAAAAAAAATCATCACAATCCAACAGATATTGATGTAATTGGCTCACAAGTCTTTGTGGAGGGGAAGGAGGTGGCTTGAGTCCAACCGTAATACTAAACAAGTGTGCCCGCGGGAACTCCGCTCTTCGATACCCCATATAGCCATATTATTAAATACATTCAACATTACACAAATAACTGATCCTGATACGTATTCTTCTGTCGACGGTAAGGACATTAAACTGTACCCTGTGTGAACTTAATATGCCGGTGTACGCGTTGCGACTTGCTGGTTATATTGCCCATCGTTTGGCAGTTGATAAATCGCATATTCTAGTACCTATCTAAAATAAACCATTGATACCGTATTGGTACCGTACCTACACACACACGGGGACAATATAAAGTAAAATTGATAAAATGTTTTTTTTTCAAACGATCATCCCCTAACCGCTAACTTATAAATGTACTATCATTATATTAATGAACTATAATTATATTTAGAAATAGTACAAACAATCATCTCCTTAAATCTTAACGTTTTGCAGTAGGTAAAAGAAGTTTGTATTACATGATAATTTTTATACTGAAAAACTTATTAACGAATACTTGTTTTGAAGTAAAAACCTTTACGATGGGATTTAGTAATGATTAATAAGTATAAAATAATATGTAACTTCATTTTTTTTTAGTATGTACAACCTTTTTTCTTAGTAATTTGGTTCGAAGTAATATTGTACTTAAACTTTTTGGCATGTTTCAAATAATTTTGTGAAATGTTATTACCCATTACATTTCATTACTAACTCATCGCCCATAACAGCAACAACAACAAATCAATGTAGAGAGATTCGCGGATCCAAACCTGAGTCAATTTTGACTGAAACGTTCTTTTAGACTATTACCTCAAAATGGAAACGAATTCCGCATAGTGGCCTTCTATGTGGATGAGACCGACGTTCTTGTAGACGATCCCGACCAGAAGCATTCCAACAAGTGCGGGCAAGGTGAGCATGCGGAACACCCATCCACCTAGATACGCAAACACCACTAGCACGGCGATGTTGAACAGCTGCCCACCCGGCTTGGCGTCCGCACCCATCACGGCCAGCACCACACCCCAGAACAGCGTGACAGTGACGAGTAGTGCAAGGATCCGGGCCACGTGCCGAAACGAAGGGCAGTATGGATGTGGGCACGTCTTCGACCAGCACCCCGGCTCCCATCCGGGTCCTACTTCCTTCTGACGGCATTTCAGACAGAATATATACCACCAGGAGCTGAAACGACAACGTGACCATTATACCATATCATACCACGTGATTACAATGGGTTGCACGTCATCGAGAGACTTAATAAAGTACAAAGGTGACTTCACGCTCCGCAATGATTGCCGACAAAAAAATCCTTTTGAAATATAATAAAATAATTACATTATTTTATGATGATTTTTTTATGTGGTGAAAAAACATTGGAAAAATTGAAAAATGATGTGGTATAGCTAAATTGCCTATCCAAAACGCCGTGCGCCGAATAGTTGTAATATTGCAATATTTAAAAAAAAATATTAAGTGTATAAAATAAAGGGAAAAAAAGGTAACGTAGAAGCTTGTTTGCTTTCGTTAGAGCTAGTGCATATCAGTATACATGTGTATCAATTTTCACAAAATATTTTTTCAATAAATGACAGTAACTTATCTATTAAAAATAAAATATATGGCAATCAAACTATGAACGTTAGGTACAATATAATGATACATTTATGTGCATATTTTAAGAACATATGATCATCTCTCTATTGTCAAAAGTAATATTAATGTTTTATTATACTCAAAATCAATTCTAAACATAAATATAAAGGCGGTACAATAATATAGAACATAAATCCATAATATTATCATCCATCGTGCTAACGATTCGCAGACAATTCATCCCCGTCGAAAAAATCAGTCCACAGACATTTTTTCCGGCTCAATTATTAATATAGGACCAAACGTCCTCTTGTATTTTAAATTACTAAATTTGTATAGCTATTTTTTTTTTAATTTAAAATTTCAATCCTTTGTATATAACGGAAATGTCAGTATAATTTATGTTGATAAAATATTATAAAATATAATACTACCTACAATATAATTTCCACCAGTAAAATTTAATTTTTAAATAATATAAATAAACTATATGGTTAAATAACGTATAATAACTCACGGGTTAGTAATACAAATTATTACATAACTGTATCTACAAATTTTATAGATTTATAGATGTATATATTATGTATTAAATTAAATAAATGTTTTATCATATATTATACAACTATTATATTATACATGTCAATAGTAAAAATATTGATGGTTGAAATGTACAATTTAAATTAAAATTCCAGAGTCCTCTACTAAATGTGAAACTGTAAAAATATCTTTTCTTGTTAAAACTTGAAACTTATCAAAAAATATTTTTGGAAAACAGTTTTAGACTCTCTATCACTTTATATAAATTTATACTCTATAGATCAAATTAAAGCATTTTATTAATTAAAAAAATTGAGATCAAACACCTTAATATTGATGATGTGATTAATACATTTGCATGCACGCATTAATACCCAAATTATTTTAAAATATATAATTAAAAATAAATATGATTGAATGTCTAATAAATTTGTAATATTAATAAAAAATATTAAGTGGTAGCTATTCAATCACCAAACCAAACCAGGTTTTCAACCTTACTTCAAATACAATTCGATTCTGTCATAGTCAAAGGTCATATGATGTAAACATGAATTTGTAAAGACATTGTAATTATTACTAGAATGAATAAACGTAGATTATAGAAATTTTCACCAATATTAGCATTTTCTAGACATGACTTTATACCTAAGTTTTGTTACAAAGTTAAATAAGTCTATATACTATCACATATAAACATAAGTTCAAATAGTTCAAAAGTAAATATGAATTATTAATAGATACATGATACATTTAATAACGTTTGAATCTTTGTATTATCGACTACCTATACCTAAACTTGGATAGTATAAAATATAAATATAATATTATTTAGTAATATATATTTTTAGATATGGAAAAATATATCTACACACAACTTATAATAGTTACTTTACATAGATTCTAATCATTTTACTGTCATCTCATACTATCTGAATTCATATTTACTTTTTTTTTATGTGATATTGTGCAATTTGCAGTGATTATCTTATGTGATTAATATAATTATATGCCTTTGATAGAAAGATTGGTTAGTGAATAATGGTAAAAAAAAGTTATCTTATCTGAACTTCCAGGTCTTCGATATAATACTTGAAACAGAGTTTAAGTTTAAACTTGAATCTACTTATTTTTTTGATGACTACCTTGTCACGTCGGCTCACAACTATGATTACTTACTAATAAATACATATTATGCATGTTACGGGTAAAGTTGAACATCTGGCAATGTACACATTGCCCAGGCATTCTAACTACTGCCAAATTTTGATGGACAATGTAGGCAAAATTACACTAATTGCCTAGGCCACCTATATAAAATTGAGCAGTTTAGCTCGATTTCAGAGGTTATTTTGGGTAATATCTGTAAGAATTTTTAGGATAAGTTCATTTATTTTGTTTTTAATTTAAGGTATATAACATGTCTCCCAATATAAACTATCAAAAAAAATCACATACACCTGGGTATTTTTTGTATACACACCAATTATATAGAACAACTATAAATACATTTAATTTAAGAAATAAAAAAAAAAATAAAAAACTTAATAATAGACACAAAAAATCATATAAATATTTTAACACGGAACATATGGCAAAACCACTGGATAAACTAAAAAAACAAACTACGAGAAATAAAACAAAATATAAATCCCTGGTCACGAACAAAAACAACCAAAAAAACAGAATAATAATAACCCGACTAAGAATCGCGCGGTCACACCCTCCTCACTCATAGACACCTTATGAACAACCAAATACCAACGGAATGCCCCTAGTGCGGAACGACCCTCACTGTTAAACACTTGCTGACCGAGTGTAGATCCAACGAGGAAGAACGATAAAGCATAACATACCATTGAACCTGTACGAGATTATCGGTCCCGACTGCCTACCGGAAAACATCATATCGTTCCTCAAGGCATTAAAATAAGATAAAAGCATATAATAATTAAATAGAATAAGTCACTAATTTTGTATAAACTGTTCTTTTTTTTTTATCTCTCCTATTCTAAGTATATATTTATAAGTATATAATTGTATAAAACTCATAAGCTAATGGCCTATGGTGCCGAAGCTGTAACGAACAATACAAATAAAAAAAATAAAAAACTGTTTTACTAGGTGAATTTTAAACTACATCCTTGTAGGAACAGCTTTGATAACAATTTAACAATAGGTACCCACTCTTATACAGCTCATATTCAGTCCTCAAATCACAAGTACCAATCATGTAATCACAAATCATTACCTACCTATAATATGTACTTAAATATAAAATAATTAAATAAAATATAGGTGGGCACCATAAATTAAAAGAAAATTAATAACTAGCTTATTTTTGTAGTATGTGCCTAACTGAATGTACCAGATAGTGTTTTATTTATTAGCCATTTCTGCTAAAAACAAACATAAATATACCTACCTATTAAATTTTATTTTAATAATCGTATGAACATAAAATATTTAATTATATAGTCATTTCTTTAGAGATGCTATTTAAATGTGGCATTTCTCAGTTAAAATCAGCTAAATAAGAAAAAATATTATTGACCAATATTATGTTAACATTAAAAAAAATTTTTTTTGATTGCCATAAAAAATCGATATTCCTCCTCAGTTCTGTGGATGGAAAATGTGTATTATTATACTATTGATATCTTATATTATAATTTTAAGATATATTTTAGGTTCATTTTTAGGTCTAAAATGACTAGCTATTCCCATGTACTATATTTTAATATAATACATTATATAACTTTTTATATTTTATTATTATTAAAACGAGTTTATTAGAATTTCGTCGTAATAATGATATAAAAAATAATTTGCTAAAATGTATATTATACTATAAGCATTTAACAAAAACGTTTGTACCTACAAGTATAATGGTGTTTTATTTATCATAAAATTGTCATTAATATATTATAATGTAACTATTACAGGATTAATTCATTAATTTATAAACGCAATGCAAATGACGGCTAGGACGTTTCATTTCATTTTCAAAATAAATATGTGTTTATATCAGTTAGCTAGAACTATAATATCAGATAATTAATGAGGACTCAACGCTTTTCGTATAATTCATTAATTATAATTTTAATATAATATTGTTATAATAACCATATCGTGTATACGTCTACAAGTATACTCATTAGTCATTACACGAAATGTAGGTAGGTACCTATATTATATAGGGTGCATCTTATACGTTTTTGTACTAATGGTTTTTTTAATGATTATCATATAGACTGATAAAATAAAATAACCAAATAAATTTAAAAAATAATGTGATCTTTATTTTTTTTTTTTTTTGAACTGAGGACCTATTTGTACCAATTGATAGTTTTAATCAAAATAATTGTAATAAGTACTCGAAAACATAAAATGTAGCTATCCCAAAAGTTAATACATTTTTACTTTTTTGCGAGTGTGCTTCATTAGATTTTTAATTAATATTTATATAAATATGTGATGAGTTATATTAAATTATTATTAAATATATAAATATAAATATATATTTAGATTATATTTTTATTTAATAATTAATTTTAGTGAACTATAATTATGATTCAAAACGTATAAAGATTTTCAGAAAAAAAGTTACAATCAGGATCTATTAAAAATAGTTGTGAACATTAAAACAATTAAGTTGAATTTTTTGTTGGCACCTGAGTACATAAAAAATGTCAACTATCATTAAAAATAAAGAACCAAATACATTTAATTAATTTCAATTCCATTTTATCGATATGTCAGTTGGTAATCATCAAAACTCCATGTGTACAACGACTTAAAACATTAATATGATCAAAATACTATGATTTATCCTATAAATTAGATATTTAATATGCTAACACTGAACATAGGTAGGTATATATTATTTTGAAGCTAATAATTACTTAAAATCTTGATTGCGAAGATTCGTATTTTTACCCACACAGAAAATTGCATTAAAATTACTGCAATTTTTCTTTCTCGCACATATATCTAATAAGAAATGATTAATAATCATCAATAATTAAAATAATATTTAAACCAAAAACTAAGTGTCAAACAAAACAAAAATCCAAAAATATTTTGGTAAGCTCATAGAAATTAAAAGAAGTACTTATTTACTACTATGTAATGTAATATTATATTATATTATAAGTACAAAATTAAATTTCAAAAACTTTCTATGATAAAAATAAAATTGTAGGTAAAATTCAATTTTGTACGAAATAATAAAATTATATTTATATAAAATATTGTATTATATATTATACTATACATTTATATTTCTCTAAATTTCAAAATATTATACATCTACGTCTTGTACAAATTATAAGTTACATTTTACAAGTTTAAAAAACAAAATACCTTTGTATGCTAATACAGTTATACTCTTCATTAAAATGTCACTGTTGAATGTTTATTATTTGTAGGTACTCGGACATAAGAAAATATGTGGAATAAAATGCAGAAGATTACTTTTTTTCTCTGTCGTTCGTGCCGAAATTGAATTTGTAGACTTCGTCGCTGGATTGTTTTACATTAATAGCAGATATGTATTCCGAACTATGTTTAGGGGAATTCATTTAAAAAAACAATCTTATTTTATTTAATTATAAAAGTAAACAAATAGAATTATTAAACGTATCTTTGTAATAATAGCATTAAACTAAAAAGCAGCGTTAGTGTAATAATATACTATACGAACTGAAAAACGGGTGTAACACTGTTTTGCGTCAAACGCACACATTACTCATACCGTGTGTAAGTGTAATAAACCAATCATTTCATATTTTTTTTTATTCCAGTCAACTGACTTTATTTTTGTAGTATTTTTTTTTCTAAATAAATTATACAACAAAACACCTGTTTGTTTTATTGAAATTGCCTCGTGTAGAGCGAAAAAATAACAAATGGGTGTTTGTAATTATCATAAAATATTACCTGTTTCTTGTCATGAACGCACTACTGTTACAGTCTAACACATTTTTGGCATTCGTTTAGTGAATTTTTCGTTTTCACATTATTATTACTACCGTATCTGAGTAAATTTTCTATTTTAGCAGTTTTTAGTGTTAAGCATTTAACTAACTCTAATTAAACGATATAGGCATATAGCTTCATGAATAATCGATACACTACAAATGTAAAACCACTGCACGTTTAAATAACAACTATTAAAAATAACATATTATTCGTCATAAACCATATAATACATATTATATCGACGAATAATAGAAACATTCTCACTTGAAATAAGTCATAAACCATTATACTGTTGGTTTAGAACTGATAAATATAAATAATGCCTATGATGTATAGTGTATACATATTAAACATTACCAGACTTCAGAATAGAACACATTGATTTTAACACTATAGGTAGTTCAAAATAGAAAGGTTCTTTTTAGATCACTAGGTAGGTACCTATATTAAATAAAAAAATGTGTTCATTGTGTTGATTTAGAACCTATTATAGTTTTTGGTGTCTTTAGCCGGGGAGTCAATTAATAATTATCTAACAACCGTCATATTAGCTTTATTTAGTTAAAATAACTGAGTCAGTTCCAGCTTAAACTAAAAATTTACGAGTTACTTCATCCTAAATATAATAGTTTATGATTTATCAAATATTGCTGTATATTTATGAATTCATTATGTACATAAGTAGGTACAGCATAAGTCGTAACATTAAGGTGCTCACTCAGACTTAGTTTTAGCCTTTTTCGATCTTCGAGGTGGATAGAACATTATTTCATCAATATGTTTGTATAATAGTAAATTATCACTTGTTCACATCACTTTCCCGAATTCTGGTATTACATTTATATATATATATATATATTAGATAATAGATAGCGGGCCACATAGTAGGTACCTCTCAGTTTTTTTTTTTTTTTTTATTGATCCTGAGCCCGGCAACTGTGGCCATTAGCACTCTCAGTTTTTATTTAAACACATATTAGTAACAACTCATATTTTGTTTACATAAATTATTTAGTTAAATTTTTGTCAGTGGATTTTTTTTCTGCAAATAGGTACACTATAGGTGTACAAATCTACGTTATGTACACAATACAAGTTATATAATATAATGTTTGCGCTGTAGAATTATAATTTATAATTGTAAAAAAGGGGGAAAGTAGGTAACCGTTTAGATGTACAGTATGTGTTGAGTATACCTCGTCATTAAATAACTGTAATGTATGTGGTAACTGATAAATTTGAATTCATTGTATACGGAAAAACGATTCTGAACGAAAACAATCTATCAACATATATTACTAAGTATATTTTATGATATAAATAAACTGTATTTGAAACGTTGAATTTGAAAATGGCATTGTGTACTCATAAGTCATAAGTCATAATATAATAATATAAATTCAAAGTTTCAAGAACCCACGAATAAAATTGTTAAATACAACAAACTAACCAAAATCTTTTGATGAAAACCGTTAACTATCGTCGAAATATCCAATTTTGTCAAAATTTGTAAATACTTTAAATATCTTTAGAAAATTAGAAGAAAAATAATGCATCTGCATTTTTGATCTAGGTATTGCTGTATTAATCATAATAGGTATTACAAATAAAATTGTATAAATGTACACATTTATAGCTACAAGTCTACTAAATAGTTAGAAATTATTCATGATTTTGTCAAAATTTAAACTCCAAATACTTATAAAAAAAATGGAGATAATTAGTATTTAAAATTTGATTTAGGAAAAACTTCGTACAACATTTTCAAACTTATAAACTTAAGCTTGTCAAAAAATTCAAGTCTTTAAATATCAAAAAAAAAAAAGAGCTAAATTATTCGTCTATTCATGTCTAGAAAATATTTTTATAAATATTTAGTGAAAATGTCAAGTTTCTAAGGTTACTTATTTTTGAATTACAAACAAAAACCAAATTAATTTTGTCGAAAATTGGTGTTGTGGACATTTTTTTTACCGATTATCATAATAAGAAATATCAGACACTTTTTCACTTTTGACTTCCACAAGTACCTCTATACCAGATCTAATTTCCTACTAGAAACCATGCTCAGAATAGAGCTCATAATATTTTTATGCTAATACTCCTATAGCTGACGCAGGATACAAAAAACACACATCACTGTAATTGCTACGCTCAGAATCTAAAACAACTATAAATATTATATTATTATATTGTTATAGTCAATTATATGACCGAGTATTCAATTTGTAAAGGTAGGTACTATTACTTTATATTATACAATGCAATATTTTGTAATTAAAACATTTCATACATATTTAGGTATAAGTAATTTTCATTTTAAATGGTTGACCTAGTTTTGAAATATATTATAGGTAGGTAACTAAACTATTTGTAGTAAAGTTTTTAGTAGCCATAACTCATAAATGCATAACCAATACCAATACATGCATCTAGCTACTGTATTTTTAACACAAGCTTAACTTTAAAAAAAACCAAAAATTTTAAATTTTTATATCAGCCATGTCGACTTAAAAATATATCTTATATAGTTGTATACTTACAGCTCTATACTTGCTGTCGGCTCGTTACTATTTTGAAATGTTAATGATTTTCTATTTTCACTGATTATAGAGATAAATCCTGCAATATTAAAATCATAAATGAATAAGATACTCATCACTACAGTTAAAAAATAATATTTATGTATGCACAATAGAGTTATTTAATTCTTAAAAGTAATGAAAGTGCAACTATATCTATAATCCTGATTTGGACATTTGAAAAATTTGTATTCAAAATATGTCGCATATAAAATTATGATTTTAAACATAAAATAGCATTTCAAAAATATTGTTTTAAAGTAATTTCAATTGTCAAATTGTAGTTAGTGACGAATTTCGGGAGTTATCCTAGTTCCATATTACAGTAAGTCGCTTACGTTATAGTAACTTACTGAGTGATGAGGTACATACGAAACCTATTATTTTGACAAAATTCATAAGCATCACGAAAATTGACTCTTGATACTTATTACAATGGCAGTTAAAAAATATTAAAAATACATTGGAATGATTTTTTTTTATAAGCATTTAAAGTTCAAATTTATAAAATTGAAAATTGAAAATGATTTTGTAGTTAAAAATGTATAAAATGTTCAATTTTTATAGCTAAGGATTGAAAATTTAAGACAAGATTCTACATAAGCAGTTTTTTCAGTAACTAAGAAATCAAAAAAATTTATGAATAAATTTGTTATTTTTTACAGACATTTTAAGTTCAAATTTGGACAAAATTGTATATTAACACAAAGAATAACGTTTATCATTTTATTGTAATTCGGTTCCAAAACAGCCCAATTTCACATAGGTATATTTAATATTTTTCTAGCATCATTGATAATTTAAAAATTATACTAATTGAACCATATTAATAATAAGTAATAACGATATAAGTATCCAAACCGACATACCGTCTCCGCTCAGAATCGTTTTTCGTATACAATGATTTGATATCATTAAATTCAAATTTAAAACCTTCCATTACAGCGACCTTCTAGACGTCCCTAGTGTACAGCAGAACAACATCCACTTACCGTTTCTAATATTACTGAGAGTATTAACGTCTCTTACTAATTAAATGTTATGTTTCTATCAAACACGTGTATTTTGGTTATTTAATAATAAATTATGACATTATTTTGAGATAAAAAATATGAGTTATAATGTATTTAGTATTTTTTTATTTAAATTAAAATTTATATCATTTCCAAGTACAAAAAAATTCACAATTTTTAAAATTTGATCACTTTTCATATTTTTACCATCATTGTTGAAAAAAAAAAATGAAAATTTAAAGCTCAAAATGAAAAAAAAATGTTTAAAATCGCAAAATGTTTAGAAAAGTGTTAATTTAAATATTTGATAGACTTTTCATGTATCGCGATTATTCATTTTTAAATTACAATAAAATAAAAATTATCAATTTTGTCTAGAAAGTTTCGTATTTAAAATGGCTGTTCCGGTGTCGAGACAAAAGCTTTCGGCACACTTAAAATCGTCCCGTTTTTTTAAATATCTCCCATTTTTATACCAATAAAAAATAATGAAAGAAAATTACAACCGCAGTAGGTATAAACGCCAAGCATGCATTAACTTTTACAAGTGGTTTTATAGATAGATACCTATATTCATATCATTATTCATTACATGTACTGTGCAATTCATTCCAATAATGATACAATACCTAGGTATTCTGAAAAAAAGGATTTTAATTTGTCATAAAGTCTACTCGAAATCGACTTCCTATGTAATTATTTTTATTTCTCTAATGGCGACAACCAAGAATAAGTATATTGAAATAAATAGTTACTTATAATAACTTTCAATTCTTTCAAAAAGTTGATGACATAAAAATTAATTTCACATTATATTTTCAAATATGCTGTTTCAGCAATCTTTATTGCATCGATTGATCGGTAAGCCAGGACTATTAAGAATATTAAAAATTCCTATACATATTCCTTGTTTAGTGTGTAGTATAGACTTATAGACAACAGCCAGACAATTATACCACTTTTCACCCGCTGTAGGTGTTTAGAAGCAAGGTTTTCTTTATTAAATGACGATTTAAACTTAACAGCCCGACAAAAATACTCGCTCTGAGAATAATATTCGATTTAAATTACCTATTCAATATAAATAGTCTTAAATTTATCGTCTTTTTTTCTAGGTTATGGTCGGTGGTAGTACCAGACTTTTTTTCTGTGGTCTTTGGGGGAATAAACATATTTTCTCATACAAAAATAACATTAAAAAAATATAAATATTATAGTATAGATTGTTAAAAATTAATTACCTACCTTATTATTATTACCTTCTGAATAACTAGATTACATACCATAATTTAAGAAAGATGATGAAAATGTTATAATCATTTTAATTGGTTTTCGGTCTGTACATTTACAATTGAGGCACAGGCAAGGTAAAACAAAATGTAGATTGATCAATAGTGTAGCACTTATTTCACTATAACACTATTTATCGTGGAAATCAATGACGCCGTCATTTATTGAAATCGTGTTGTATAGTCAATGGCTATTATAATGTAGTCATTGTGTGTTATAAATACGCTCTATATACAGATCTATAAACATTGGGTATTATAAATATTTACCTTGCTGGTTATGGTGGGATTGCTGCAGGTCGTCGTCGTGCGCGCCGCAGCTGTAAGGGAGCTTGGTCAGCTCGACGACCACCCCGGTCTCATCCGGCCGTGGATTGTTGCCAAGTGGATCGACGCTTTTGCAAGGACCGTTCACTTGGTACGAGTCGGACCGCCATCGCAAATTCGTCGCCGCTGGAGGAGTCTGAAGATTACGCGGTTGTATCGCCGACCGCGGTGACGACGGGTCGACGACGACACTTCCGTGTCTCCGGATGTACACGCCGGCCATTTAAATATACACGAATGTAATGAATAGATAGCTGCAATGTGAGACGACGAGAATAAGCGGAAATATAGCAGCAGACTTACGCAGCCACCGGAATCGGAACGGCAGTTGTACCTATGAAAGGTAACGACCGACGAGTATTTCGGAGACGGTTTTTTTGGTTTTTCGACACCGATTCTGCAACAATGACAGCGATTCGACTTGATATTGGATCCGGCTGTCGCACGGTTCGCAAAATATTACCATAATCGGTGTATGAGTAAATACCTATAGTTAAAATACACAGACCAATAACATGCTGAGTTTTTATACATAATATATTATTATGTAACGAAGCTCAAGTATTACATTATATAAGAATATAAGAATTGAAATTATTAGACTATACTTACCGTCGGTCGTAATGAGCATACCAACAGGGTGATCAATTCAACTGTCCGTGTTCATTTTCTAAGTCAATTGAATATTTTTGTGTGAAATTTGAAGTATGTATAACACTATCCATGCATCTTTCCAAAAAAAATATAATATTAGTTTCCTAATTATTAGAATCAAAATCATCTTCTACAAACAAGATTTAGAGTTGTTGATCCACTAGTCACAACTATTGTGAAGGACCTCTTTTTATTTTTCTTCACTCAGATAAAAATGCTTATTATTAAAACTATTTTATAAATATAATAACATAATATATTACAACATTCGATATTTTGACAAAAAACGTTTTAGGAGAGTATAATGAATATATAAATGTAGGTTGGAATTAATAATTTAAAAAAAAATAATAATAATAAGCTGGCTTAGCATTGTAAATAGATCACCCTGTATACCTAGGTATATACAGGCGTGACGGCCGAATGAATTAACACGCTTAAAAATGTGTGACAGTAAAATATATGTCTTAATTCCGATTTGTTTGAGTACAATGCCTACCAAAATCAGTTACTGTTGAATGCCAATATCTATATAGTAGCTTTTTTCATGAAAAACATATTGCATCTTTAAAATAATTTGTATTCCATATTATATACAATAATTATTACAACTACCTATATTGTCTATTTTTAAAACTGTACCTTTTATAACCACCTAATTGTAATCTTGGTCAAAAGTAAAATTACAATTCAGACTATAATATATTGTATTACTCGACCTCACAATTGCAGTCAAACCTGCCAATATATGACAATAAATTAATGTATAAAAACCTTCATTGAAGCTAACAGGAGAATCAAAAATGGCACGAATTATAGAAATCCTTTAGAAATACTTTCTAACAATAACTGTATAATATTTAATACCATTATTATTTTAAAAAAATTAACATTATTTTTATAATTTTGTATTATTTTTTCTCTCCATCTAGTTGTATTTTATAGACTATTAAATGTAAAAATGCAAAAATGTTTACTTATAGTAACATATCACCAATTCAACAAAAGTGTTTAAGATTAATAACATGGCTTTCAAAATAAAAAAAATTTAACGATGTTAAAGTGTAACGAATTGAATTAAGGCCTAAGCCATAAATCTTGTGCCTTAAATCATAAAAAAATATTTATTTGTATTTATTAATGTTACTCAAATTTTTCAATAAAACTTGAAATTGTTATTATAATTTATTTAACTACGCCCACATGTGTTGTCTATGTCTTAAAAATGTAAGACATGTATTTAAGATAATTTTTAAATTGTAATATTTTACTTGAATACCTACCAATAATTTCTTTAAAATGTCAAATATTGTAGAAAGCTATGAGAAAGTATGATTAATGTTGTTAACTTTAAGTCTAATAACAGGTCAATTGGCTCTGTTATTAAAGGTTACTTATTAAACAAAATTGGAACTTATATATCGTATGTTTGTAACTTTTCAAGAAAACAACGCAATATGTGGTTGTGACGTCCTCTTAAAATTCTAATTACCAGATCGATACTTTTACCCATTATCCATCAACTAAACACACTTTCCTGTTGTTCCTAAATATTACTTTTTACACTTCTATAACGAACTTAATCAGTACTTATAAGAACATAATAAGCTGTAGGTACCGAAAGTGTAAACATCCTATAGTTTAGACATGACGTTTAAGCTAAACGACTTATAGGTTCGCATAATATGAATACATTGTACAATATAAACAATATGAGAATCGAAAAACATAGGTAAATACCTACTGATGATTAAAATTTATAAATATAATCTTATTAAAATAATTTTTAATCATGTTCATTTGGGCTGTGTATAGATAGATAAATGCCATAACTTATTTATCTACCTAAATAAAACCACTATTTAATGACGTGGCGTGCTCAAAATGGTCATTGAAATTGCACTCATATGACCTACGATAATATCTGAACACGCTCAAATGTCCCACTCCTCAAATTCTGGAAAGCACCCGTGCCTAATAGGTACACTACTCTAATTTTTCTAATGATTAATATAAAAAAATGTTCAACCTGATTTTCAATTGCAGTATTAATATTACAAATTACAATGAAATACAATGTACAGGTCATAAGTACATAACTAATGGTATTACAAATTAAAACTATTACTATTCTTACCTACAAAACTATTTATTCCATCCATTTTTTAGAGTACCTAGTTTTAATGATTTTATGTTTAATTAATTATAATGAGTTTAATGTTTAAAATAATTATATTACATAATTTTATAAAAATTGTAAATTATAATACCACATAAATAAGTAGTATACTCATAAAATACATTTTAAATAAATGAAATGTACTAATATTTAACTATTTAATATATTTATGATAAATTTAAAAAAAATGAAATTTATATTAAGTAGGCATATTGCATAGGAAGTACATGAAATATAATTTAAGCTTAGTATCTCTCGGCAAATTATGCAAAACATACATCTATATGACTATATCAGAAAATTAAATAAGAGTATTAATCAATTTTGTGCTATTTACACATATTTATTTAAATAATATTGGATACAACATTTTCGTGAACCTACAAAAACGAACGCCGGGCTGGACACTTAAGTCATAATTTTCAGAAAACTTTCAGTATTATTATATATATTTAATGTAATTTTGTTTTTAACAATATACGATTTTTTAAGTACGGGCTTGGGGGGGCCTTGGCCCCAATCCCCCTTCTCCTGGAGCCACCCTTGATTATAGGTATATACCTATATATGTATACTATATACGAATTGCAATCTCACGTTTCATATAACAATTATTAGACCTTAAAATTTAAGGTTCGGTTATAATTTAAGGCTTAAATTCATTGCTAAATGCTAATTTTGTACAATCGGCTCACAGCGAGAGTCACTGTCACTTCATTCACGTTGAAAAAAATTAAATTGTTTGGAATTAAATGGATATTTAATTTGGATATGAATAACTATTGTCAGTGGTGTGGCGTAGCCACGTAGGGGGTAATGGAGACGCAGCCGCCTCTCGGTTTTTTTAGGATTAATCTTATAATATAGTTTTAAAATTGTCAGAGAGAGGCAATTTCCCACACCCCATAAATGTCATGTTTTTTTATAGTACAGTTTTTAAGAGAGAGATAAGAACCTAGTGTTCAATGTTCAATAATAGGTCATGGGCTCGTAGGTGGGTGGTCATCGAAAAATATACTCGCCTCTGAAAATTCTAAAGTTCGCCACGCCACTGACTATTGTTTTTTTTTGTTTTAGTTTGCAAAAACTCAATTTCCACTTTTTTATAAAGGTAACAAAATTAGTAATTTTAAGTAACTCAAAATATAATCTTGTTTATTTAATTTTCCATGGATCAATTATATTGTGTTGTAATAATGATAATATATTACAATATTATACATATGAAGTTATATTAATAGTATATTGTATACCTATATATGCATTATGCACATTTATAAAAGTTTTCTGAAAAAAAACCCTATTCCAAGTCTTGTAACAAATGTATAAACATTGATAATACATAACCATGTGAAATGTTGGCACACAAATTTAGAACTTGAGATGCTGGAATGATGGACCCAATAAAAATATGTAATATATATTATTTTGATACATTAGGTACTTAAAATGTTTGATTTTTCAATTTTTCAATTTCTTATCTTTATTTTTTTATTTAGTATACTACCTATATAATTGTATATTTGTATACACAACTGTCACAGCTTATAATATATTACAATAAATACTAATCATTACCTATTAATTTTTATTTAGCATATTTGTACCAATAATTTTTCGACAATATAGGTAGAATATATTTTATGTTTGCTTAAGTTTTAATAAGCCCCTAACATGGCATGTACTGCTGAAAATATCAAAAGTAAAAAACTAAACACCCTTCCAAGATAGCTTCTACAAACATTTGATTATGTTTTAAAAATATTTAAATGTATTACATCTACTACGAAATTATAATATTTTATGCGCACTCACCTAGCTGTTCATGACCTGTAGTATACGAAAAAAAATAGGTAAATCAAATTTAATTTGCAAATATCCAACAATAATATAATACAATTATAATACTTAAAACTTTTAGCTATGATGGACCTATTGCGAATAACGCATCAGGCCTACTTAGTATGAAACTATAAACACAGATTTAAAAATAGATACCCATAAAAAAATATGGAGATTTACAAAATGTATTCTTGAATGTATTATTCAAAAATTAAATGCTGATAAATAATATATTATAATATTCTACTTCTTTCAGATTTGTATCTCGATATTTCCATGAAACGTGTGCAATATTCTTTTAATACGCATATTATATAGTATTGTTGGTGCATTGTTCATTGAATATAATAGGTATATCAGGTTCTATAATAATATACTATACAAAATATTCTTTAAATATTAAAAGAAAACTTATTTTTACAAAACGTTTAGTATTATTGTATTCATTGTAGTATTGTCATCGTTATATTCACAAGTAACTCCAAATAAGTAATTTATAGTAGTTTAGCAATATATAGTGTATTGGGTACATACCTGAGCATGTAGTTACGTCTATTTACAGTTGAAATTATTAGTAAGTACAGAAACGTATATTATATTTCCAATTAATTGCTAGATATTATTGATTACGTTTTATCACTGTGGGTAAGTTATTTTCACACAATTTTATATTTTAAACGTAATGAAATGGACAGAATTATAGGTTTTAAAAAAATTAGTGCTTTTTTTGAAACACGTTTTCAGGTGCTGTAAAATTAATTTCACTTCTGTAGATTAAGAATTGTACACAATAATATTTTGTGTAAGTGGAAAATAATTTTTAATGAAAAATCGGTGAAGAAAATAAGAAAGCCAAAACTTTGTATACGTATTAGGTATTAAAATTATTATAAAAATTCGATAATATTTAGATATTTAGTGTATACCTACTATATAGGTACTTACCAGAGAATGCAGAGTCAACTTAAGTGTTATATAGATGGATATGTGAATTATTCAAAATTACATTTTCAATAAAACAGTAATATTTAAATCTAATTTTACATAATAAATAATTTCAGGCATCTATAAACTTGCTAAAATCTATATAATAAAATACATTTCAAAAATTAGGTACCTACTTATACTTTAATACCTATTGTGTTTATGCATTAAGTATAAATTATATAGGTAGATAGGTAAACGTTTTTACTTTTTCATAAATGTGTTTAATACAAATATTAAACAACTACTGTTTCAAAAATTGATTCTATTCGGTTATCGATATACTTCAAGCCTCAAGGGCTGCTATAACCTGCGTACGATTTACATTCATAAATGAATATAGGCATATTATATATTTATACCTAGGTAGTAGGTACGTAATGTGTGTAGGTGTAGTTCCTTCCTATTTAAAACAATTTGTTACAGACATTATCATTGGAAATGTCCACATATTATGTAACTATTTTGTTATTGTCAAAATCAAAACCAAATTCTTGATTTATAATAAAAAGTAAAAATGAATTCCTACATATTTAGTAAAATAGTAAGTACGATATAATAAAATAAAATAAAACAATTTATTAAAACGAATTGTAGCTGATTTTCAGTCCACGGGGAGAGCAACATATAGCTGGATCACTATAATGCATGGCCTGTTATCCATGAACACTAAGCTACTAGGTCAAACCGCTGTTGACGTCCCCTTCTCACCACTCCCTCATTTAAAGTTAACCATCGCCGATCTGGAACACTCCACCGGTCCATGATGTACCTATGCTTGTGACCCACCCATTATTCCCGAACTTTCCTTTATCAGTATACCTTTGTTACTATTTTCCCATTTTAACGTTTTTTAATTCTGAGAATATTGTGACGGATGTAGGTATTGACTTTACACAGATGCGTCAAAAAAAAAAAATTATGATAAACTGGAATTTTTACACAAAACCAGCAATTGAACAAAAAAATTGAAAATGCAATGTACAAGCTCTCTTATAAGTTGTTACTAGTAGAAATTAAAAAAAAAATTGTGAGTAAATCCACAATAATTTTTATGGTCGTCTTATATGAAGTCCAAAACGATTGTTTGTATTAAGATTTTTTGTCTGTTTTGTATGTGTATATAATCTGTGTTATAAATTATAATATAAGGTAATATTACCAATTTGTTATGACTTAGAATTTGGATAGCACTAAAATTGGTATAACATATAGGTACACCCACAAACATATTTAATTGTTTTAATATAGATTACCGATTTACCCATGCATCGATATACACTTCACTGGCACACTCAGGTGATCTCTTTAGTGGTTAATAACTATACCCTTAAAAAGAGCTTTCAACAACTGCACTCATCAAAAAAAAAATACATCAGACATGAATTAGACCACTTTGCTCTTCAGAAGACTTTCAACTACCTATCTATAGGATCTCTCTACCTACCTAGATAATAAGATATTCCCGTCTTCCAAACCTAGGGTACTTTCAACAAATCGAGGTTCACTTAACTACTATCTAATGAGGGAACGAGTAGCAAAAGCATATTATAGGGAATTGTTAACTAATAAAAAAGTTAAAATAAATTATTAGTATAGCACTATAGCCCTTTTATCAGAAACATTTTTATTACCTAGTCTTGTAAATAAGTTAGGTAGGTAATTTCAATAATATAAATAATTCCTCTCAGATAAAACACCCTATTAATATCTATCAGCAGTTAATCTGACAATTCACAAATATAACTGTCAAGTGAATGATTTGTGGATTTATATAATTTAATATACCTAGTTGGTTTATTGTACATATTATTATATTATATAACGTCAACTGATTTACAACCTACCTCACAGTTAATTCTCATATAGTATATTTTCAATACAATATTCTGTTGTAACGTAACGTCTTATTTTTTTCCTAGTACTTTATTGGGATAAACATTCATATTTATGTACGTATTGCCTGTAATCTCTATATGTACTTGTGTTGCTTATACTCTAAATAATGATATTATGAATAGTTGTAAGTTTATACTGCCACAAAATTGTATAAAATATTTGTAGTTATTATGCACAGTGGGCGTTATTATAAATATGTAACCTGAAATATACCCGTACATCGTGATTAAGTACAAATCAAAACTTATTTGCCAATTATCGTTATATAGGACGCTTAACAATGTATAATATATGTACCTATATAACAAGGCCATACAATGTTGAAGTAAGTTTTCTATAATTATTTTATCTACCTATCGATTTGCAACGCGCGTAAAATTAATACAATACCTAAGTATAGGCGTATAGCTACTTTCCCACAGTTATTCGGAACTATATGGGAAAACTAATTTGTTTTTTCACAACGGAACGGAGGTGGATTGAAATGAATTGTAGCCAACAGTTTGTTAAGTCGCAGAGACGTATTTGGATTTTACACGTCGACAAATGTGGTTTGACTTAAATAATCTGTATTAAATATGTACTGGTGAGTATATTACCTACCTGTATTTTATTATTTCAATTTGTAATATACATTTTGTTTATTCATTTTTATAATAATTCCCACTGGATGTAGGTACCAAACTAATCATTTTTTTTTTAACCCGCAGTTGATTTAAGAAAAATCATTATATCAGTTGGCAGATATAAAGCAGTCTATACGAGATCGTGGGAACTACCATTTGGACGTCATAATATATAGAATTATAGGAACCTATTATATAGCTAGTGTAAATCGGTAAATCGCATCATGGGTGGTGATACATAATTTTATTTATTTTTTAAGTTGTACTTGTTTTTTAGAAATTGACAAATTACTATCGACATTATGGTGACTTATTCGATGTCGTCGAACAACCAGAAACACGATCTATCGAATAGTAAGTATACAATATTATTGTGATAGGTGTTATTGAATGTTACCATAATTTTATTGTTAGACACTTATACGGACTTAATAATTGTATATAAAAATATATTGTGGGTACCTATCTATAGGTTTTACAGTTGTTTTTTTTTTATTTAATAATTTGTGAATAATTTAATGTAATAATTATTTTATTAATAGTTTTGAATATTTTTGGAGAGTGGAGGGCCATACTAGGAATTTAGGACATTTTAGAGGTCATCAAAATGCAAGTACTTGCTCATTGTCTCACTAGTTAGTAAAGTAGTTTAAAGTAATTGGAATTCAACCACACAAAGAAAATAAAAAATAAAAAACCTTCATTTAATTCAGGATAAAACATTAAAATTAAAAAAAATAATTTCTTATCCGCGGGACAGATACAATTATTTGTCAACCAGCCGCAAAGTGAAGGCACCGTACGAATTACGAAATTCCATACCTACCTAATAAAAAAAACATAACCACTCACATTTCATAATCATTAGTATTTTCTCAACAGTCATAATGTGCGTTTTTGAGACTCTGGAGAAATAAAAAAAGGTAGGTACCTACACCACTTAGGTACCTAGTAGTGTAGTACTTACCGTAGAGTTTACCATTGCTAGAGTTTGTAATAACTCAGTAATAGGTAGGTATAAACTAATAAGTGATATTTGTGAGAATATCAATTATCAACCACAGTTATAAATTCATAGGTACCTAACCTTTTATAGGTACTATGCTACTAACTGAACCACTAACATCCAGTATATTTATGAATTATGAAGTTAAAACTGAATAAAATACATGCTGACTATGGTACCTGTCGACTGTCCGACCATAAATGAAGGCAGCTAATAAGGAATATCGTTTTGTAATTTTTGTATCACTGGTAAGTGGTAGCCGGTAGGTCTTACGACTTGTATTAGATTTACTATATTTGTTCAAACTTTTCTGACTACGATAACGTTTAAGTCCGTCGAGAGGAGTTCTGGAAGCAATGTTCCAGAAATGTTCATATGGTTAAGTTACTGTTGAGTTACTTGGTGGAAAGGGAGGGGGCAGTATGTGTTTTTGTTTTTTCACCCTGGGCTAGGTTGTACTTGTATAGCAATTATATATTTATTAAGACAATATTGTCCATTATTACAATTTATATTAATAATTAATATCAAATAAAATGTAGGTATGGCTGTATGAGAAATAATATTTTAACACTTATTATATTACTATTGATATTTAATCGATTGCATATTATTCTACACCACTCCACACCTGAATTATACTTTGTCTAACTTAGTCGAACGATTAAAATCGCGTCCGCGCACGAACTAGGTATCCGCCTAGTGTAGTAGTGTGTAACCAGCTTAAAATCTCGAGAATGGAGTTATGGTGTTAGGTTTAACTAATTTCACTCCAATTCTAAATTTCTTATAATCTTTTGACAAAATAACTCATCGGAGTATCACACATTCACTCGAAGGTGTTATCATCATAAACATTTTATTATGTATATTATCTTTACGTCTGCACTTATCATTCATACGGCTGGTGTTTTGTTATCACCTTTGAGTCGTTCAAAATATGTGACATAATTTGTTGATAAATAAATAGTTACTTCTTAAGTTTACTCTAATAATTAAATTATTTAACTTTGGACATTAAGCTGGCGACTTCAGTGAATTCGTGTTTATAATCTAATAATATTACTTGCGATACAAACGTTTATGAGCGAACGACGAGTTGCTGTACCAAGTTTTTAAGTTAAGTGCTTTCGGACGATAAGTGGATCATTCACCAATCGTGCCTATTAAATTTATCTTTTTCCGCTCAATCTTAAAGTCATTGTTTGATTATTTTTATTTGTAAAAACAGTACATTTTTTTTATACGCCTTATCATTTATCGACGAAAAATTTGAATTACCTACTCTGATTGCTTAACAGTTTGTCAACATTCCACTGACAACATAATATTATATTGTTAGTACTTAGTAGTTATCATGTAGAAAACGCCACTCTACAGTAGTCCTTTTTTTCTTTTTAAGTATGGACTCGATCGTCTCTAACAGTAGCGGGTATGATCAATCCGTTGACTGGGTACCATTGTCTCTGACGTTTGTTGAATATCCAAAGGGTGAGTGAATTAAATAGCAGTTATGCACTACATACACTGCTATGTAACAGATCATAATTCATAACACATGTTTAAACTGACTCCAGAAAATGTTTCTAACACCCAATTGGTGTTACAGAATTATTAATTTTAACGCAATAAACTGTTACTCCAATTATTTAGTTTGTTTGTCTTTTAGAAGTTGTCATACTCTGAGTCATAATTACGAGGAAGCCAAGTCACAAAAGTATAAATAAAACTGCAAACATAATTTGAACTTCTTAACAGTTGTAGATCTTTTATTAAAGTAATGGTTTTAAAACCTAGTATAGTTTTATATATTTAATAAGCAACATCATTTTGAAATTAACTGATCTAGTATTTTTTGAAAAAGACTGAGTTAAGTGTTTTACATAATAATATTAAATATATTGTTATTATAAAAGTTTGATTAAAGATTGCCTTACAAAAACTGCTGGAACACTTTACAAAAAACATATTCTAGAAATAATAAAAATAGCAAATTAAAATTAAAATATAATAATATTATGTTAAATGTTAATGGTACCGATGTAGGGCAGCCGTAATTAATAATATAAGTTTTCAATTCAATTAGTGTTCCGACAATAATTACCGCATTATATCACATACAAATATAATATAATAATTTACAAATTATTAATATTAATATTATAATTTATTAATCAATTCAATGACATGAGTAGGATATATGCAGCATAAACATATGCATTTTAAATGCATACTATACTCATGCATTCAAATTTATAATTAATTGGTAAGTTGAGTTCAAACATTAAAATAGTTTCTCAAGATAATCTTCTTTTTTATTTTATGTTTCTTTATCTTGAGCCATTAAATATATTTAACAATAATCACAAAAAAAAGCAAAAGAAAAAACAGCTTTTTGCTTAAAGGGCAGGCCATTGGGAAAATTCCTGATGCGCCAATGACAGTTTACTTTAGTTTACAACAAAATAAGTAAAAACAAAATATGACTATAACTATTATTTTTCAATATACTTTTACACTTGTTGATTTGCATATTATGTTACATACCTATCTATCTAATAATTTTCTTCTTGTGTTTAAGGGAATATATTTGGAAAATTATTGGCGTTGTTTAGTTTGACACCTTTCGTGATTCTGTCTGGTTTTATTTCTTTGATTCTATTTCGTCGAGATTTACATACAGTAAGTAAACATTCAAATTAAAACAATCATTACTTACCTATATTTTGTCTATAGAATTTTTTTTTTTTTAGATCACTTTTTTCATTGGAGTATTACTCAATGAAATATGCAATACAGTTCTTAAACATATATTACGTGAACCTAGACCCTTAGCTAGAAATACAAATTTGTTGTACTCTGAATATGGCATGCCTTCATCTCATTCTCAATTTATGTGGTTTTTTGCATCATACATGTTATACTTCACATTTATAAGGTATATTTCCAATAAATATAAAAAGTAAGACTTATTCATAAAGATAGAATGTTGATAACTTTAGAATTTTTTTCTTCTTTTGTCCCATAAAATGCCATCTTAGTTAAAAGTTTGTTTCATGCTCCTTTAATTCAGAATATACTAATTTTATTTTGTATTGTTAAGCATTTTTAGCTATACATGCATTTTTTTGTTTATTGTTTATTTATATGTCATATTCTTATATTTTGCATATTATGAGACATTTTTCATAGTTCTTGTATAATGAGGGGAATTTTTCTCAGATTTTAAATTTTTGGGTTCTTGTTGTGATTCATTTTATTGCTAATTCGTATCAACTCAAATATTTTCAATACATTTTTTTTACTGTAAATTAAACTTGACATTTAAATGTTTACTATTATCTATAATATTATCTCTAATTTTGCGATTCATGTTTTAAATTACTCTGACACTCATTACCTCGCCCATAACTCTAATAATTATAATTATTTTTAAATTAAATTTTAGTATGTTTTTTGGTCATTTTTTAAGTTAACTTTTTTGAGTTTTTAGACATTTTTTGTGTGTTATTTAGGTCATTAATATCTTATCACTATGTTATTTATAGTGTAGTTATTATGAATGTTTATTATTTAGGTTACAGTATGCTAACAACAAGGCATTTAAAGAGTTTTTCTGGAAAGTTGCTGGAGCAGCATCATGCATTGCTATTGCCTGTATAGTTTCTTATAGCAGGTATTTAGACTACTGTATTTTATTATAACATAATTATTTTATATTTTGTAATACACAAAAAAATAAATAATGTTTTAGGTTTGTAAAAAAATAAGTATAATAAATTTGATGCCTATGTAACTTATTTGATAATATTATCATTAGAATAAATATTGAATAAAAATTATATCATTAGTCATATTTCATTTATCCAATATTAGGACCAATATAAACATTTTCTTCCAACTGACCTTGAACTGACCATGGTCCTAGATGTTGACTGACCTCATCATAGTATAACAAATAATCTCAGGAATACAATATTAATAATTTTGTATAATATATATCAATATTTGTAACAATGACATTCTACTTTAGTAATATTGTTAAAGTGGTTCATATGCCCATTTTCTTTTTCCTTTATGTACCGTACATAACATGTAGTATTGTACTTATTGAATTTTCAATATTTCTATTGTAGTTTTTTTAAATGCTTTAAAAGATCCTTCAAGGTTTTTTTTTTGATAATCTAAATAACAATTATAGATTTTAAATAACAATCAAGTTCATGATTGGTGTAGTGAAATATGAATGTTAAACATATAACATTTTTGTTTAATAACATTTTAACGTCATTTTATTATTACCAACTTTATAATGGTTTTTTTTTTTTAGAATCTTTCTACAATATCATACATGGAAGCAAGTAATATATGGTGCACTATTTGGTATTATTATAGGAACTATTTGGTTTACCATAATTAATGTGGTATTGACTCCATATTTTCCAACAGTTATTTCTTGGTATGTTGAATTATATATTTTCCTTATTATATAATTTTATAAATTTATAATAATATATTTATTTATTTAATGTTTTATACAAAATAACACTACTGATTTTTTTTGTAAAAATTATAGACATCCTCAGTATGTTCAATCTGGAGTATGGATTCTACTACTGTGTCCAACATTAGTTTAATTTATTATAATTATTAATTTGCTTTGGCCTTGAGACTTGAGTTCTATAAAGTGCTAAAATAATTTTTGTTTGTTTTGCTTTGAAATACTTCACGTATTTACATCTTCATCAGCACATATTGTGATATCATATTTATTTCAATGATACGTTTAAAAATTAAATGTACCATAATCTACCATTCAAAAATGTGTCTAATGTCTAATTATTTTGTCGCCTAATTTTACTGTTAAATAATATAAACATAATGCATACTATACTCCGTTCCATATAAGAGCGCACCACCTTGGCGCCTCCAAATGAATCGCGGAGCGACGTCCGGACCTACAGGCTGAGTCTATTTGCTCTGCTATTGGTTGTCGCTGCCGACGACGCTGTGGTAAACAGGGAATCACCAAGTGTAGTGGGGAGAGATGCGTGAGTTTCGACCAGTTTTCGTCTGCTGCCCAGTGCGCTCTTATTTAGAACTGAGTGTAAAAGCTTATTCATTAAATTATTTTAAGTTATAACAAAGCTAAATAAAAAAATAATATTTATTACATTAAACATTGAAGCCTTACAGTAAAATAATTTTAATAAATTAAATTGTGATTTGTAAATAATATTATAATCGTTTAAGATTTATATCAACTATAAAATGTAAAGTAATATAGGTGTTTTTATTTAATCCAAAAACAAAAGAAAATATCCGGAATAATAAAATTATAATACAGTAGAAACCTTTATAATGGCATTCAATTCACTAGGTGAATCATTAAATTAATTAAATATTTATATGAACATAATATTGTATTACAATCAATGTGTAATATTTTTATCGCTAAATCATGACTTCAGCGGGTATAGAATAAAAAAAAATAAAAAAAAGTGATTCATTATTTTAAAATTAAATTTACATTGTATTTTTAATTCTGTTATCTGTATAAAAATCAGGCAGTATAATTTTTTCAATTTCTTTAGAATTGATGTTTAGTATTAGTGGTTGATATCTTACCTTTAATAAAAGTTTAAAACGGTAATTATAGAATTATAATTATATTAGATTTTTCTAATATAACTAAAATTACCTGTCATAACATAGTCATTATAGAGGTGTTGTAATAATCGATACAAATCAGTACATACAATGTAAAAGTTTTACCAGGACCTCCAATCTAAGGTCATTACACCCAATAGCCACTACAACCGGTGTCATCATAAACGGTTTCTACCATAATTATACTTTTTTTAATTAACTGGAATAATAAAAAAAAATGTCCATTCCATTAATTTAAAAATATATAGATCAAGGTATTAGATAAATAATTTTGTTGTGAATATTGAGTTTTATAATATAGGTACGTTAAGAATATTGAAAAAAAAATAACAATTTATGATTATATTATTTTATTTATTGAGCTCGGTGGTTCAATTGTACTGTATGCTAAGTTAACATAAAATATGTGACATGAAAGTATGACAAAAAATAATAAATCCTTTAGAGTATATTATATTAACGTTTAACAGTTGTAAGAGCATATTCCACTGTATTTTAAGATCATCTTTGGCCTTTTTATTGTATATTGCTCTATTTTGTATCTTTAGTATAAATAACGTACAATTTATAGAAAATAAAAATAAAGATTTGAAGACAGCTAATTTAGTATAAGTTAAAATGATGAACTCAAAGTCTACCTACCCAATTATTATTTTTTTTCTACATTTCACTTAAATTTTTTTTTAATTATAATAAAGTCTACGATAATAAATCAATAGATGAATATTGCTATAACTTTTTTAAATTTATTTAAAATTAAAATCATAATTTTTAGAAAAGCATATATTTTATGAAATATTAGGCCATTTTTTGTACATAAACTCATATTTTTTAGAACATATTTCATAATTTTTTAGTGCATGCAATTCGAAGATCCATTTATTTAGAACATTACCAAAGAATAAGTTCAAATAAAGATAAAACAATAAAAATATGTATTTTTCATTATATTTGCAAAAATCAACTTAAATATCATAACATTTTAAAATAGTGACAAATCTCTGATATGTTCTCTGTATGTCAAACTACTATAATATTAACAATAATTGAAATTTATTTAAAATAATCAAGCAAACAAATATATTTATACTTGAGTACAAATATTACTTAATACTAATAATTCTTATCTATAATTTAATTGAAATATTGTTATTGTTGTTCAAATAACTAGTATTATTATAGTATATACAACTCATTTCAATTAAATGTTTAAACTGTAATAATCGTCTTATTTTGTAATTCAATAAATTGTTCATTAATGTACAATATTACTTATATTAAACTATTTGTATCACATAAACTTCAACGAATGATAATATTTTTAAATCTAAAATATTTTTTCTTTTTTAAATAATTTAAATAAATAAAACATTTCTTTTCTTTTTTTAACTTGCCTTATTATTTTATTGTATATAATAGAGCGTCTATTATCTATAAGACTTAGCTAAATGTTATATATTGTATTAAAAATTAGATATTATAATTAAATTATGATAAATAAATACAAAATATCCCATCAGTTTCAATTAGGTTAGATAATTGGCGCTCAGTTGTGGCTTGTACTAGTGGTCTAAAAAGAATGAAATCTATATTTAAAAGTTTCCTATCTTTTTTAATACATTATATAAAATGTGTGTGCAACATTGAATGAACATTTTTAATTGTATTGATTGATTTTTTTTCTCCTTCTGGTAATATGGGTAAAACTATGCTTTAGTGTGTTTTTAGTTGAGTATTTAAGTATTTGTTAAAATAATGTTTTGTTTTTCTTTATTTAGGAAAATATCAGAACTATTTTTGTTGAGAGACACTACGTTAATTCCCAATGTCTTATGGTTTGAATACACAAATATTCGTCATGAAGCAGGAGCTAGAGCCAGACGTAGAAAATCGATTTCTGCAAAATCTCAATGACTAATATTTTGATAGTATAAGAATGATAATAATATGACTAACCTGTTCAAGCATTTGTAATTATGTGAAATAATCAATGCACAGTATACTATTATTTTTATATTATAAATTTATAATAGTTTACCATTGTTTTTGACATGTCAATGTATTTATAATAACTAAATAATTGATAATTTATATTTGATAATATCTAATGACTAATATAGGTACCTACTAAAGGTACCTACTGTTTATAAATATCACAAAAATGTAATTATTTTTTTTTAATTTTCAGTATATTAAAGTTAATTTTGAATAGTAAGCACACTATAAATACAATATTATTAATTTAAAGTTTAAACATAAATATAATTTCCAGTAGTACAATAATTTATTTCAATTTCATTACAAAATGTTTGATTACACTAAATTAGTAACTAATTTATTTTATTCTATTTTGTAAAAGGGAGTTAAACTTTCATTTTAATAATGAATTCAACTGTTTATTGCAAACATTTTTAAATTAGGTTAAATTCACATTTCTATACTGAATAATTTAAAAATATATTGAATAACATAAATTCCAATGATGATGTGAATTATAATATACATATAAAATATGTTTGCGTTTGTTTACTAATTGGAATGTATTTGTACATGCGATATCATTTTAGAGCAATGAAATTAGAAATGTTAAAGTAGAGCATTGATTGTCCACACTATATTTTGTAATTCAGATAGTAGGGGATAATCAAATAATGGTTATAAATGTATTATGTGTCTATGTACATTTCATACATATTATTTATATATCTATACGTATATGATTAAGTAAAATATTTTTTTTTTTAATGTACATATTATCGTGTTTTTAAATTTAATTATTAAATAAATTGATAACTTATTGAGTATAGTAGCATAATATAATTATTATTATATACTATTTTGTTGTGCCTGATCTATGTTGTATTTTATTGCATTTAATAATAAAGCTGTTGATGTATAATTGTGCAATAATATGTATCATACCTAGTACTAATTGTAGATATATAATTATATTAGGAAAGAACTGTAAGACAGGTACTCTATTGTCATCAGTTAAAAAAAAAGAACTAATAGATGTATTAAAGATAAGTTGAATTACTGATAAATTAAGTGATCAAGAGTACCTGATTTATTTCCAATACAATTTTATTATGCTTACATCAATTTATTGGGTATGAGAAACTTATAAAACAATTTATCTAATATCCCTAACCATGCATATACCTAATCCAATTCGCATATATTATACACGAATATATGTTTATTTTATTTTAAATATTATTTTACTAGAGTGCTTCTATGATCAATTGGTATAAAATTGTTTATTATTTCTTTTGGTAACGAATATTTATATTGATTATAAAAATATATTTAGGCTAGAGGTTATTGTTCATTCAGTCGATAGTTGTTTAGGTAAATCACCCTTTACTTTTGTAATTACTAAAATATTTAATATTAATATATATTCTAAATACAATATAATATTTTAAAGAGCATTTATTAGTGTACAATGTTTGAAATTAATTTTCACTTTCCATTATTTAATACTTAATCGGTTTAATTTGTTTTATGTTCCCTTTACAACCAGATGTTTCTAATTCTGTAGTTGAGTAAAATATGTTTACAGTCACCATTTAATTTTTTAGTAACAAATTATGGGTACCCATTTGTTTTATTCAATGAAGATTATCAATTTTTACAATTTGACAATGATAGTGTGTAAAATAAATATCAGAATAACAATTTAAACTAGTTGATAACCGAAGACATAGATATCTAGTATAAATAATATACATATATTATATATTTTTAACACGAAAGTCCTGGAATGTTTTTGCCTTTTTGGCTTTGAAACAAAAGTATAAATGGGTTGGCATATTTAAGTAATAAGGTCCTCACTGAGTGCTTAGTTAAATAACCGTGAAAAGTTGATTTCAATTGATTTACCGTAAGCACTGCTGCTGTGACAATATCTTTGGTGAACTTGATTATTCTCGAGCATTCCTAGACTGATCTTATGACAAAACTCCCGGTGTTGTCTTGTATAAAATAATAACAATGCAATTTAATAAATAAATTCTAAAACTGATTATTGTACTAGTCTTATAATCTCTTAATTTATGTTATATATTGTATTTTTTGTAAATCCTAAATGGCCTAAGGCCTTTGCTGCTGAGGCTTAATGTAAATAATAAAAAAATCTATGTATAGTTCTATACATTGTTGTGAATTTGTGATATCTATATGTTATGAAAAGCATCCCAAAACTTATGTTGAGACACTTCAACCACTGACTACAGAAGATAGTGGGTAGCTTAAATTCATTTTTGACGAAAAAATTGTATTCAAATGTCATTGTGTGTACAAAATATGATAATATTCTCTAAACGTTTCAATTACCTACCCATGAATAATATTTTTAAATTACAACAAAATAACTAAAATCTTTATTCTTGGTTTTTATATGTAATATATAGATAAGTACCTACCTATTTAAAACTTAATCTTACTCAATTCATTTTTATTAATTAAAAATTAAAATGCAACTTTCAATTAAAAAATGCATTTTTTTATAAATAAAATGTCACTGTTGATTTGATAATTTTTAGTGATTTATAAAATAAAATTAGTTTTTTTTTATTAATCGGTGAAGATCAGTCAGTTCCAGTAACTTAATATTAATAATTATTTCTGCATTTAACAGCCAACAGCTTTACTATAAAAAATTGAAGAAAACAAATTTATGTTATTTTATATTAAGTACATAATGATTATGATAATTAACCAAAACAAATGCCAAGGGAGAGGCAACTGCCTCTGCTTGACCCCCCTGAGGACACCCTTGTTGAAAATTTTGTTATTTTTTGATAAAGGTAGACAAACTTATGATGAATCTTGTATTACATTTTCAAATCGCAGATAAAAAAACACAATTTTATATGAATATTTCTAACATTCTAACAAAAAAAATTCACGCATTTTATCATAATTCTAACTTCGGAGGCTCATAAAAAATTACTGTGGGTTTACAGTCAACTTTTTTTATATTTTCCCTAGCAACAATAAATTTATGAAGACCTAGAAATACATTTTTAAGTTGTTTGACTGAACAAAAAAATGTTTATTGATCTTAATTTTAAAAAAACTAATAAAAATCAAAAATTTCATAGACGTGTAAATTGCTTAGCACGAGTCTAAATATTTAAATAAATCTACCATAATACTAAAAGTAAAATACATTTTTAAAGGTATTATAAATATATGATGTAAAATATTCTAAGCAGAATAATATAATATGAATAATATGATACAATATTCTTACAGTAATAATATTGGTTGACAAGCTGATTCCTCTAAAAATCATTTACTACTTATAATCTAATAGATATTATTGATATTAATAATTATAATCTAATAATAACTTTATTTTCGCATCATATTGTGTTTAATAATAAACAACTTACCACAAAATTCAAAATATAATTGCAGAATTATTTGCTTTGAGCTTGATCATAAATTTATCTTTTTTCAAATAGATTCTTCACCAGTAGTCAGATATGCCAGTCCATACATAACACTAAAATATTCCTTTATACCTAATAATAGTAGATTATATTATTAATAATAAGAAGAATAAATATCTTTTTTTTTATATAATAATATACATAAATACGCATCAGGTTATAATAGCGTTGTCTAGGTCTGAACTCTAAAATCTAAATTATTAAGCATAAGTTCGTAGATTACGTTACAATTACATTTAGTTCAATGTAGATGTATAAGATTTTTTTTATTAACGAGTAGTAGGTACATTTAAGCAAGTGCTTACTTCTATTTAAAAGTTTTTCGAATAAATTATAATATTTTTGATTTCATTCCAAATGTTTCCATATATTATGATAAATTTTTTTTTTAAAACTTAATTTAAAAAAAATAACAATATTATAAGTAAACTAAAATATATTACTGTTTAGTAGTGAATAGTAAAACAATAAATTAATGATTATAGGTACCAGCTTTGAAAATAAAATGTATAAGATTAATTGTATTATTATTTTTGTGTGATGATTATGCTCGTGAAACAGTTAATTTCAGTTTTGATATTGTACATTAATAATTAACTGCCTAATATTATGATCGATTACATGAGTTACTTTAAACAATTGTATATAATTTTCAACATCAGAGTTAAGTTATAGTTCTGAACTAAATATTGTTAAATACTAAAGTAAAATATTATCCACGCTCTACACCATTTACATTTTATAAAATTAGGTAACATACAAATATGAAATCGTTTTTCTTTAAGTGTTAATAAGTTTAAATAAAATTAAAAATTAAACTTAATGCTATATATTTTGTACATGTCCCATAAAATTATATAAAACTGTGGTAATTGTCAAGTTCGACACCAGAAAACTTTTGTTCTAATTCGTGTTGTCTTTCTTTTTCGTCCCACAACTTCACTGCTTCCAGAACTACTTCTGTAACAGTTATTTCATTTTCAACTTCCTCAATTAGATTATTTTCTTTTAAAAACTTAATTTGAACATCGTATTCCTCGTGTGATCCATTGATGGCAGCTTGAGTATTCGCGTAAACCTTAGAAATGAATTCATTTTCAACATCAATTGAGGAACTCGGATGAGTCTCTTTCGACATTTTAGCAAAAAACTGGTATCGATGAAGCAAGTGGGCTTTTTTTAAAAATAGGCAAAATTCGTCTTCTTTATTTGGTATTAAATAAGCGAAAGCAGGCGTCATCATCACTCTAGGATAATTCTTACAAATAGTCTCCATCAATTCAAAAGATACAATAGGATTTTCAGCTTCATTTTTAAGGATAGTGCATGTAAATATTGGGACGCTCTCAGAAATTCTGGATAAAGTCATGGCAGATTTTGAATTTTTAGCTTTTGAGACTAAGTTATATTTTTTTATAAGTCTTTTGAGTTCATGTTTAAATTCTGGTGATGATTTTAGAATCATTTTCTCCAAATTGTTTCCTTTCTCAATAGCTAACTTAACCAACGTTTTTATATCTGTATACATGACTTTTTTATCGGAATTTATCGCAGTCATATAAGATAGAATAAGTTTAGGGTCAAATTCTTGTTCGCAATTTTTTTTCAGTAACCACGATGGTACATATTTAGCAGACTCACTGAATTCCTTGGCCATTAAAAAATTAAGAGTCCTGGGCTTGTACATTTCATTCAATTTTGTTTTTAGTTCATCATCGGACAATAAGCTCGCCTCAGCGAATAGTTCTTCCATAGATCTTCCAGAGGTGGGCTCAGATGGTTTGGGTGTAGTGTTTACTGCAATCTCTAGTACTTCTTGTACGGACATGTTTCTCGTAACGGTAGACAAAAGTATAAATTATATTACAATACCTGACGAATAGATGTTCAATATCAAAACGAAAACTCAACTAGGTACACAAATAAATTATTATTTGCTAGGTAGAAATAACATTCGTAAGAAATCTGAATTTGTATATAATAATCTTACTATTATTATAATTATCATAAAGGTACGCGCAAACGTAAACAATTTTAACTGAAAATTATAATATCATACGAACATCAGCGGCTGCACTATAGGTACTGAAGATTATCGAGGACTGTCGAAGCGAAGCAAACTAAAAATTAAAAATCATAGTTGATGTGTTTATCGATTTCTGTGCAAACAAACAATAATTATAGAAATAATAGGTAATTTAGTGGGCAGTAGCGAACGGCAATTGGCTGCTAATAGTCAATAAATTGGTAATATTAATTCGTCAACATAGTTAAATGATACTACCTAAAATATATTTAGTCGATACAATAAAGTGGCAGTACATTATATTGTCTTCGACACACGTCCATTAGGTATACCAATGAAACGCATTAATATTATGTGCGCATTGTTGTAATAAGTATAGGTATATGTAATAATATTATAATGGCTTTATATTCCATTATATAGTCTAATCCGATTTAAGACTGGGTACCATTAATGTTGGGAAGGGGGGGAGGACTAGCTACTAGGCACTTATGTAGATAATAAAATAAAATACACCCATCTATTAAAGATTTTAAAATTTTCCTCCGAAGTTAAAAAGGCAGGCAAGTGGGGATTGCTTTGCTGCATAATAGGTGTCAAGTGGGTCACAGTCAGAGACATTTTACCACTAGAAAAGAACTGTGTGTCTGTATGTAACAACAGCATAATGAACGGAGTAACAACATCTAGCAGTGATGTAGCATGTCTTTACTAGAAAATACAATAATCTATAATCTACGTATATATCTTACCCGACCACCCCGCACTGCCATGCATACGAGTAATCTAAAAACGCCCTATTCGTTCTGACACATTCCATACACTCATTGTTTGTCTAGTGGCTAGTATATGTTTAGTATAAGATTATTACTATGTTCACTGTAATAGATGTGTTAAATTTGAATTAAAATAATTAAATGACAGGTATACGCAATACGACTCTGAGCGAGTCTGTCAGCCTATATCAATATATGTATACATGTATATTTTATATGATATTATTGTAATTTATATTACCGTTAGACATTAGTAAAACAGTAGACAAATTAATTTTTGCAAAAAAATTGCATAATGTGTGTATGAATTGTAAATTATAATAATATATAAATTTCAAGTAACTTGCATGGTCCATGAATAATATTTTTAAATTGTAACAAAACTAATCGTGTCTCGCGCCGCAGTGATATAATAATAATATATTGACATCAGCGGTGAATTTTGGACTCCCGTCGACCAGGGTCGTATGCATATACTAGCAGCTTCTCGATATACATTCGTTTGTCAGTTTTCACGTCGTCGGCGGCGGCGATCGTCCACGGAGACGCCTCACTGGACATCACGATCACTGCATAAGTCCCTGTTACAAATGTTCTGATGACTGATGATGTTAGATCGTATTCATTTCATACAGTTTTCCATTCCTTCCATTCCACGCTACTCTCATGTGTTGTCCCTTACAAATGTTAAACATGACAAAAACTGTTTTGCGCGAGATAGAACGAATCAGGCTGTAGTCTAAGCCAAGCAATCAAATTTTCATACTATTTAGAGCAGAATATTTACTGTGTATTATTATTTTTATTTTTTTGATATCATAAGTTCAAAAAAAGTTATTCGAGTTATAAATAATGAATTTTGAAACAACAAAAACTTTTCTTGTATTTGTTATACCGAAAAACTATGTTGAACAGTAAATGTTCACCTCCTAATAGTATGTAAATTTGGTTGCTTAGCTTAGACTACAAAATGAGTGGTCCTATCTCGCTAAAAAAACAGTTTTTGCTATGTTTAGACTTTCGTAAGACGGATATAACACATATATGCAATATGCGGGTGTGAAGTCATCTTAACCGAAGACCCAAATACCCGACTGCGAACACCGGAACACGTACCGGTATCGCACAGTCATAATTATACTCATATCCCGATACGAAATGTAAATTTGTCCGAAATTATTATTGGGTATTCAATATCCAAATGTCTCTACAGTTAATGAGAAGTACCAACTGTGTGTCTGTATGGTTTGTTTTTTAAATTTCTTGGCAAAATAAATAATTCATTCACTAACGTCTATCCCGGTGGCTGGTCTTTATATAGTTTTTACTAATGATTTTTTACTCTGTCCGTCACTTAAGTAAGCTATAAACGTGGTTTTTTAAAATTAAAATATAGAAAGTATAAAAATGTATATTTATATGGGTAAAATTTTATTAAGTAGCGCTTCTAAAAATAAATTAATAAAAAAATTATTATAATAAAGTGAATAATGATTAATTAAAGACGATTTGTATAGTTTTAATAATATTGTAATAACTTTTTACTTGGAAGTCATAATGTTGTTATATTGAATAAATAATTATTTTCCGTTTGGTGGGCCCTTAAGAACATTTCTATGTAACAAAAATACTACCTATAATACCTATTACCTATCCACATATTTTACTTGAAGTTTTTTCCTAGATTCTAGGTTACTATTAATATTTTGAAATTTTCAATTATGTCATCAATATTAATATTGTAGATTTGTTGGCAGATTCATGTTAAATACTTATAGCTAACAATGCTTCCAAGTTTGAAGCATTGTGTTTCTAAGATATGGTTTTGATGAAACTCAATTTCGAAAAATGTCTCTCCCTTGAACAACTTGTAACTGGGATAGTTACAAATTCTTTTAAAACTTGATGTATATTTTTAAGTATATAGTATATCTCCCAAAAGAAGCCAACCGCCTTATCCAATTTTCCAATAAGTCGCTGGGGAGACGGTAAACACGCCTATGCTTATTAGTTATATTTAATTTATGATTAAGATGATTTTTTTACTTCACATAAAATACAAAAATTTGATCGTTCCATCGGATTTAAATACGTTCGTATCAAATTCTAACGGAATATTAAATGAACAGTATTATAATTTATAAAATAATTGTATATTAAATAATGCAGTATGTTAGGTACTGAGCGTCTGTCGTCTGAGCAAAATAATGTCCATAACACTGTGCATGTAGCGTTTTGAATCTGTAATAATTTCATTTATAGTTATATTGTACAATTTATTATTAGGTAGTATTAATATTCTATTTAAATGTTTAATGTTTCAAATAATAAGAGTAGGCACCTACCTACCTAGTAATAGTACTAATAGTAGTAATGTAAACGGGTACCTAGTTTATACTAGTTATACTAGTTAGTAGTTAGTAGTTATACACAAATTACCTATGTGATCATGTGTTAACGGAAACCATTAAATATTAAAATATGTAATTTGTGATTGGTTATATAGTTACTAGATAATATCAAATTATTATGTAGTATTATGTTGTTTATGTATTATTCAAAACAATTAATAACATTACATCTATCACAGTATCGCAGAATGTAATAATAAGCCGATGATCATATATTATTATTGTAATAATAAAATTGATAACCGATATTGAGCTGACAAATGGCTTATTTGGTTGATCTAAAATTAAGAAGGTAATGAAGTTCTGGATTGAAGCTGCATTTTGTTAGTAATTTACCATACTCCTAAAGGTGTTGGCAGACACAAAAAATAAATAAATAATTAACACATGTTATTTTTACAACAATATAATCATTACTCCGCTCAGTTAGCTCAGAATCTATAGTATTAAATACTTGAGAACAATTTTGTTCAGAAAATTGAAGTTAAAGTGTTCACTGTTGAATGTTTCAACAAAAAACAATATTTTTTATCTTAAGGTATTAGTTATTTTCTTAAAATACTTGAAACTTATCAGTTATCACCATCCCATACCTATGTAATTAAAAAAATTTAAAAAAATATAAATTAATACCATAATTTTTTAGACACAATAAAATTACATTCCTGAAGCAAAATATACAAAATATTATCAAGTATTGATGCTTAAAAGTATGATTGATACTGACATTATATAAAAATACATATGCCAACGGCACGTAGTGTTCCCAAGCGGTCACCCATCCAAGTACTAACTACGCCCGACGTTGCTTAACTTCAGTGATCGGACGAGAACTGGTGTATTCAACGTGGTATGGTCGTTGGCCATTGCCTCGGATTATCAAACCGCATATAATAAGAATATACGATGCAGGTACCTACCTCGTACCTACTAATTATTGGTATAAATTAATTTGTCTTTTGGTTTTGACTTATTGAAAACTAGCTTCAACGTTTATAAAAATGAAAAAAATAGTACGTTAAGTTAAAATTAGTTACACTTATTAATAGATTTTTTACGTAATTAGACATTTTAATATATAAAAATAAAAAGGTTAAAATAATAAAGTGTGAGAAATAATTATTTATTGTCAAGATGTCAAACGATTTACGAAGAATATTTAAGTCATGGGAAATATTATACAGCTGATGACTACGACTAGATGAGTGACAAAAAAAATCACCGAACGTCGGAAAATCGTATCGGAATTCGGAAGACGGAAGTATTGGTGACAACACCGTTTGAAAAATGCATACAAGTTCCTCAAAAGTTGTACTCTCTAGAAATCTCAAGTATTGAAACTCATTGGTACAATTTTATTTTGTAAGAGTTTAAATTTCATATTTCTGACAAATCACGAAAATTTAAAATTATATTTAATGTATACGAATATATGATTTTCAATTTGATTAGGTTATAGGCTTCGGCTATAGACAACAGTTTACAGGTTCGTCATAAAATCATAAGTAATTATTAAAGCAATCTAAAAATCTCAATGTTGTCTTTATTACGTAGCCTTTAAGTCTTAAGACGTCACCTGAGTATAAATGGTATAATATTATTATTTATTATACAGAGAGAAAATGGACGACGAGGAATATACACACTTAATGACATTTTAAAAATATTTTATTTAATTTTAAGCTATTTAATACCTACTACTAACTATTATTCTAAATAAACAGTTCTACGGTACGCAGTACGACGATAATGACTATTTTAGCTTAATGGATATTAATATCTAATATATTATTAAATATTAAATAATATTATAATAATTGCCCATTATTTATAATATGTATAAATGTATAATATAAAATAAAAGATTTGTGTTTGCAGGTAGCAACGAACAACAGCTGTAGAGTGCCCCGCTAGACTTCATAGACTTGTATTGTCATTATGTTAATTAAAAATGTTTAGTTTCTAAAATAGATATAATTAATAATATGTTATCATTTATGTCATTTCACATTTCGCAACACCTATAACTTAATGTCTTAATAAGGAAAGTAACTATTTTAAACATAGCTGCTGTGAACTGGGAGGTGTGTGAATTTGTTTAAATATTTTTTAATGTAAAATTTGTTAAAAAAAAAAAAATAAACATTCCCTAAAATTCAACATTTTCGGCCTCGGCCTGACGAATCACCGTTGATTGTCCTTTCGGTTAAAAATGGTCGAGAAAACACACATTTAGGAGTTTATGCCTAAACGGTCGTTAAAAATCTACTTTACAATCGAATCGTCTTCTAAGTTGTCCTAGGTACAACGCGTGGCAGCATCGCCCCGACATACTACGTTGCACGTGACACTTTACTCAATGCTATATTAGTTTTTTGGTGCCTGAGTCAACGGTACTCCCCATTTAGAAATTTCAAACTTTTAATATTTTTAATTAGTACTTAAGAGGACGTTACACAGAAATGTATTGTCTCAGTCTTAGAAGTGCGTAAGGTAGCAAATTGTATGCTCATGGAATCAAGTTCAGTTCCAGAAGCTTATGACTTAAAGCGAATTAACCTCTTATAAAATGATAAGGTAAGATTATTGTCTAGGCCCTAGGGCATCTCAAAGACTTTTTATTATATTTTAATTTTAAAGTGAGTTATGAGTATTTTAAAATTTATCTGGGTTATGGAGTGGGGTGTTAGGTCGGGTGTGTTTTAATAATTAATGAGAGTCGTAATTTGTAATGGTCATTAATGAAATGATGATCAATATTAATCATATATCTACCACTTCAAATCTGATGGCAGGATAGGCAAGTACAATTATTGTAATCAAATAGGTTTTGCAATTGTGTGGTTCCAATGGACATAAATGTAATTTAAAAGCTATTTGTTCAAAACAACGCTTTTGTACTCTTTAGATGATTAGTACCTATAATATAGTCTCCAGATTATGAATCCATACTACAAAAAAATCTTATCATCCAAATAGAGTCGCATAAAGTTCTTTAAATGATCTGGAAAACTATAATAATTTGAGATAATAATGCGAGGTCTTAACATATAAAATAAAAACAAGTATATTGTTATTTATACTATAATTGTATTTTATAAAAGTTCATCGAATACATTAATTCCCAATATTTACCCCCTTGAACGAAAATGTAAATTTAATTTTATAGAATGACATGATTGATCGTTGGTGGTTTATTGCCAGATAATACAAACTGTTTCAATAGTTAAATTGAATTAACTGTCTGTAATGCACCTTTTGAAGGTCCAAACACATTTCTTAATGATGGTTTAATATTTTTATTTTTTGTATCATTTTCAAATATCAAATTTGTATAATATTTTGATCACCTCGTTTTTATTGCACCCTATTGATGCCTAAACTGACATTATTAAGTGTTATTATATTACTCAAAAAATGTAATAATGATTATGATAAAATCTTAAATAAAAACATTTTGAACCTAAAAAGTTAATTAATGCTATATTATATATTAGAAAGAAATCGGATCATGTCTGAAAGTAATCTGTATAATTGATGATTTTGTAAACTTTTATTCCCATTATAATCAATATTTATAGTACCTACCTACATTGTTTTTGAAATTAGGTAGGTAGGTACATAATGTGCATAATAGATACTTATTGTTTTAATTGTATTGATATAAGTAATATTTTACATTATAATATGAATAATAATAATTATTATTTATCTATCCATCTTGATTCTTGAATCTTATACTATACAAAATGAAAAATAAATATTTCTACTAGAACTCCTTGTAAGATATGTATAAGCAATCAGTTATGCAGTAGTAATGAGAATTGACAAGTGGTAAATGTACGGGACATATTCACAGACAATTACTTGTGATCATAATTCATAGTAAAAGAAATATCCTCAACCCGAACAGTGTTTTCGTCCTAATTATACTACTAGACAAGCAACGAGTGTATGGATATGGAACGAGTGACAACATAAAGCGAGCTTTTCGATTACTCGTGTACGAGGTAGTGCGAGATCGGGGATAGCAATCGGCCGGGCAAGATATATAGATATCACTGCTAGGTAACGTTACGCAGCCCGCATGCTGTTGACTGTTGTTATACCACAGGTATAATATTATTTATTATACACTATAATATTTTACTATAAACTAATTACAAGTTATAGTTTAGTGTGTCATACACAGTTCTAGTTGTATGTTGAAGTCTATGCTCGTGAATACGTATCAATATTATTGCCTCCGCCGTCGCTGGTAATCTCATTATCTGTCCCATACCTGCACTCGTACTAGTCAGTCTTGTAGTATAGTCGTGCCTATTATTAGGTGATTGCGTGATGCCGTGTGGGGTTCCCATCACATTTTATTATTATAAATTATTATAGAATATCGTTGTCTCCAGTCTCCTCCGCACACCAACCGCAACAGAAAACAACCGTGTATTACCGATTATTATAAATATTACTTTTGTCGCGTAACCTTTCTACGACCACAGTCGACAGTGATTGACCGAAAATTGCAGTGTAAACTAGTTCGCCGATTTGAGGTTCGTCAAAAACATATTATTCAACCACGCATATGTATTATATATATATATATACATAATAATATTATATTATATACATATATAATATATTGTATACATTTTATTGTATTGATAATTATCTATTATTCGCAGTAGTTCACCTGTTGAAAAATAATCCTCTCTTACTTAATCAGACAATACAATATGTTTTATAATACGTTTCTGACGGAATAAAATCGATTTATCGTAATACGCTCGTTATTGTTAATATTATTCTGGTAAATCCGTTTTATTTTTTCGATTTCTGCAAATTGTTGAGAAAAATTCGCGATACGAATTAATAGCATCCATATAATCAATGTCTACTCTGGATAAGCCCTCGGCGGCGGTTTACGGCGATTGCAGCAATACTGCCTCGATGATGGCGATCGAGAACGATTATTCGTGTCGGGCGTCCGGCAAACACAACCAGGTAAAAAAACGTCGTTCCAGTTCCTGGAATCAAAATAATTCAATACCTATTTTTTGGAAATGAAAAAAAATTCTGTTACACGTGCTATTATAAAAATTAACAAGTTAGGAAAGCTCACACTTCCAGCGTGAAAAATTCCCGGTTTCTAAACGTATTTTAGACAACGCAATACCTGAACTATAATTTAAAAAGAAATCCAAATTCCACACTTGTAAGGTGGAGATAAATGCCTGATAAAAACAAGACTTAACTTTGTGTTTAAAAATCTCACATTTAGTGTAATCATTAGACATTTATGTTTAATAATATTGTGTCACACATATTATATAAATCATTCGTCGATATTCGTATTTAAACTTGTGATTCACAACAACAATCGAATTACAGCCTCATATTCACTATCAAACTTGAACTATGATAACTTTACAAATAGATGCCTAAGTAACTTAATAATTGAATATCACGTGATGTAGGTATGTAAATTAACATAAACTTCTATAGGAATATAATTATTCTATTTCTAAATATTTTATATTTATTAAATTTACAATTTATTTCCATGATTGAATAGAAAAAATATTGATATGGACAGCATACACAGACACGGTGATGGTGGTTATAAAAAAAAAATAAATAGGTACACATTTTTTAACTAGATAAATATATAATTTATACATATTAATGTAAATTACAAAATGTATAAACATAAAATAAATAAATAAAACAATTATTAGTTAGGTACTAGGTAATAGTGACTAATTACAATTTTTTTTTAAATATGTACCTATATATTTCAAAACATTTTTTAATTAAATGTACATATTTAAAAAAAAAAATTATTTTGTTAAGATTAAATTAATGTAAAACAAATTACACCCAGAGTTAAATAATATGTATTTGTTCATTTATTATTTTATACCATATCATAATTTCCAAAAAAAAATACCATATGCTATACAGTTGCAAATAGTACCTAATTGGGTAGAAAGACTTTGAATTTATATACTTTGCTCCCACTAGCCCCAATTGTCTATAATAGGTACCTGTAGCTTTAAGTATTAAAGTTGATATTTAAGTTCTAGTGATTTACCAAATTTTCAAAAACTTTCATATAAAGGTCATAAGTATATATTTATTTTCCAATATAGGTACAATTGACTTCTATTTTAATTATAATAATATTTTTTTGTTATAACAAAAATAAAATTATAAAGATATTGATAGATGATTCACTTTATTAGTGGGTATTAGGTAATTAATCAACTTACTTTTGTAAATATTAATTAATCAAATTAATACTTTGAACTCAATTTTATTCTATTTAATAATTATATTGATAAATAATAACATGTTATCATAACTAAATATCTGTAAATACATAATATCCAGATTATAATAACTTCATATACATAATATAAAAACATAGAACATAAAATATTAAAATGTGTAAAACAAAAAATAATCGGATTAACTACTTCATGTGAAACATATTTAATATTACTTAATCTAAAAATATTGTTTACTAAAATGTTTGAGCAGTAATACTAAAGTTAATAACTAATAATAAGGCAATGCAATATAGTTATATATATTTTTAATAGGTACCTACCTGTGTATTTAAAAATACAAAAATATATAACAGTATAACTAGTAATTATTATTAATGCTGAGGCATGTTAAAAAATTTTATAATCATCAATACATTATAACTGTTCAATTTTTTTAGTTTTCTGGAAGAAAAAAGCTAACCTTAACACCAGAACTAAAACAACTATCATTTGATTTCATAAAGACACAGTGTTCTTTTAGGTTTGTTGAGTTTATATAATTATATTTTTAGAAATCATTAAATGGTTTTGCTAGCAAGCCATTTTCACTTACTATTGTTGTTTTTTAGCGATTCAAGATTTATTCGTTTAAATGGCTTCCAGTATTTGAAAAACAAAGAAATTACATTGGAAGAAAACATGGATCTCATTAGTGAAAACATATTAGTAGAAAGAAAATATTTCCAAGATGTTGTTGACAGTTTATTAAGCCAAGTGGTACAGCTAGAAAAAAATATTGACTTAAAAACAATCAAAATCGAAAACTTGCAACTGTATAACTCAGAGAAATTAAAAATTATCAACTCGCTTACAGTAGCACTTAATGAAACCAAATGGAAGCGTGACACTATGCAACAGTTTTGTGAAGAACATGCGCCAAATGTACTTTATAAAAGTATGTTGTTAGTCAGTTGTGTTTTGGATAAAATATCTGTTTTTAAATCTAATCAGGATAAACTACATTCATGCTTAACCAATTTGGAAGACAATTGTCCTTTAGTTGAAGCGGTCAAACAGCTGAAATCTGGTTGTGACAAATGTATTAGTGTCATTGAGAAAGCTACTATCAGAGAGTTGTCATACGCATTAATGAACGAGAAAGACTTTAATGACACAATAAAACACACCATTTATAATCTACAAAATTTCCAATTCAACGTACCACTTGACTGTAATTCTGCCATTGAAAAGATCGGTTTGTTGAAAATCACTCAGGATGGTGAACATAATTTAGAGAATATGATTGGCCTATTGGAGTTAGTGAAGAATTTATTCCAGAAACATCAATATCTGACCAATAAAATCATTTCACTCAACATGCAAAAAATTGGTTTGAAGTTACAACTTGATGAAATGGAAAATAATAGGAAGGAGCTCGAACTAAAGGCAATGACAGAAATCGAAGTTGTGGAGAAAAAAGAAGAATTATTAAATCAAAATGAATCAATGATTCAACAACATTGGGATGTAATGGATACTAGTCAAGAAATAGTAATGCAAACTCAAAGAGCTCAAGATATTGATCAAGAATTAGAAGATCTTCAAATAGAATACCACAGGTAAATTGATTTTGTTGTTGTATTTAGATAATCTTTATAATAAATTGACAGTTGGTACTAAGTATACAACTAAAAATTGTATGCTAACAATGTAGTATTGAATAATTTGAAATATAAAAAATTGATTCAAATATATTTAAATTTACTTGTATTTAATGGCTTAAATCAGGATTTATATAAGGTCTTTACTAACTTTTTCTTTGAGTTATAAAGAATTTTAACTTTTCTTATGAGTTAAATTTGTTTTATTTTATTGATTTTTTATAATATATTATTTTGATTTTTGTTTCTCCAGTCACGACAAAGATAACAGGCAATTGAAAACAGATTTGTGTCATCTTGAAAATGAATTGGCAGAGTATCAGCTCAAATGTAAGCAAATGGAAATTGAAAACAAACAAATTGAAAATGAGAAAATTGACATTTTAGAAGCATACGCCAAATATTGGGGACATTACAATGATAAACAAAAGATCAAATACACAGGGAGGCTTATTAAAGACATAGATTCCATAACTCATGTAATTAATATTGTTATATTTAATGCTAAAATATAAACAAATTGTTGTATACAAAATTAAAAAAATTCTACCCCCCAAATATTTTTAGTCTCAAAATATACCTACTTATGGAGAACCGTAGTTACTTGTTTTATAATTATTTTAGAATAAATATTGCAATTTGATGTATACAATATTTTGGAAATTTTAAAATACATAATGTAGGTATGACAATGAATTTACAGTTGCTTGAAAAAGTAAAATGAATATTAATTTTTAAATATTTAAAAACAATAAGTATTATAATATTTAACTTCTATTCTTCCAAAAATTATCCCATTTTGATCTTATAATTAAAGTCGAACGGTGATAGGCAATCTGCATCAATGTGATAGAATGAATTATTTGTATAATTTTGCAATACCAACGACAGAACTGGCATAGGTATCTAACATGTAAATCTGTGAAATATATAGAATAGGTATTTCATTTTATCTTTATTTTTCTTTAAAAAAATCGAAGTGTACTCTCAAACCTAAATTATGTTAACTTTGTGAAAATATATTTCATGAATAAAGAAATTTAATTTTCAAATATTTAATCATGGATAGGGATTTTTCTTTTTTGATTTAAAATAATTATATACTTCATAATTCTGTTCTGTTTTTTTTTTGTACATTTTGCTCAATTGATATTAATTTTAATTGTCCTTTTGAAAAGTGATGATAGAGTATGATTAGAATTAGTTCAGAATGTTCAAAATGTTGATAAAAACAATTTATAGTAAAGATTTTAATTGGTGCTTGTTAACAGCACTTTGCTCGAAAGATATTTGTTGTACAGACAAAATAACTAAATATAAAAAATAATTGAGACTGAACAATAAAATTTCGTTGTTTAAAGGAAATTAAATCATTAGAACTGGAATTTGAAAAACAAGTACATAACATTACATCTACTGTCAGAACTCCAGTTTTTACTAAAACTCAATCAAAGTCTGAGAAAACAACACGGTCATATGGAGTTATTGATACATACAAACGTCCAAACAAAAGCTTGTTTCGGGAAGGTGTTGTCCGTAATTTACGTTACTAATGATTGAATTAGTTTACCTCAGTAATGTACTAATGTAAGACATTTGTAAGACATTATTATAATATATTATACTATGAACAAATATTTTTATCTCATTTCTTAAGAATGCTAGCACATAATATTGTATGCTTCTCATTTATTCAGGACAGATTATTCTTATACTATGGTCATTAAACATTTTTTATTTCTATTTTTATTTTTTATAACTGAAAATAAAAAATTTAAAAATCTCCATTTTGTAAATCTTTTTTTTTTAAAAACATCTATCTAAGTCAAGTGATTTATTTTTATGGTTTTTTAAAATATCAAATTCTTTGATATAAGGCTCATTAATTTGAAAAGTAATATTTAAAAAAAAATATTTACCTCTAACAAGTGTCTATTTAAAAATTCTCATAAAATATTTTTAAAAATTTTATACTTTTTGAAATTAAAATTTTGTTTACAGTTTTTTCAACTTTACTTAACAAAAATAATGAGATTACAAATTATTTTCATGACTAACATACATTTTCTACGATCAACATTTTTACAATAACCAGATTTATAAATTGGCTACTTTTAATTTTTCGGGTTCAAAATATTTTAATTTCAGTATTAAAAATAAATATAAAAATGTTATAGTGTACGAGTGTCTGTAAATGATTTAAAAATGAAAAATAAAAAATAAAAAATGAATTACTTTACAACAACTAAAATTAAATTTAGAATTATAGGTAATAGTATTTATTACAACTCATACATAAAGCTCTTTAGGCATTAAATTCCTTAGTAGCTGTGAACACGCTATAACACTGATATTATCTTACATACATTTTAGTCAAAGCATCTTATTATAATTATAGATTATAAATTATAATATCAATTGTATGTCAATATTTTGTTATTTTATATAAATTTAATAATATTAAAATTTCAGACCATTTAGTACCCTACCTTTTACCTACAAATTGCATTTTAACATCATCTAATTTCAATGTAAATAATTTAAACTGACTAATTGATTTTAATAAGGTATCATTTTTTGAAATATGTTTTACAGTTTGTGCTGTCAACTGGGTTTTCACTATTCTACGACTGATTTTATTTTATTTACACAACCAATTACATATATTATGTTAATTAAATTAATTATTATTTTGGTATGTTATTTTTTTTTTCAATTTTAACATTCATATTTGATGTAATAGATTTTGTAATATTTGTTTTAGAAACATAATTTTTTTTAATTTTTTGAACTGTTACTTCTGTATGAAATTTAGTTGTTTTGATAATTATAATAAATAGGTGATGATTTAATTTTTGGTAAGCATTGTACCTCATAAAAATATATTCAAACATTAGGACCTACATGTTACTAGCTAATTAATAAATATGTTGGTATTGATTAATTGCTGGACAACATATGATCAATATGAAATTGTTAATTAATTACAAACAGATATAAGTTAGAATTACAAAAATATTGTGTTTTTTTTTTTAAATTATTTTATTTGACAATAAAACAAAAATAATTAAGAATAATGATAAAAGTGTATATTTTCCTCATTTGTGAATACCTAAATCCTTATATTAAAACCACGGACTAAGATATATCTTAGTCCTTGATTAAAACTAAATTATTTTTGATTGTAATGTTGTTAAAATCAGTATGTTATTTCAATTGTTTTTTTTTTGAACTTTGAAGGATATCAGCACAGATATTTGTTTTCTCTCTGGCCCACGCGCAACGTCGATGAAACACATTTACTCAGAATCATTATTCTTATGTTTTTGAGGCTATGAGTTATGAAATATCAATTTCTCTAAATATTGTCTCAAAACAATTTTAACATCATTTAAATTTACAAACAATTTTTTTTATTTTGAAAGTCATATAATAATTAACACAAATTTAACCAATATCATACCCTCACAAATATTATCATCTATTATATTTGTAATAGATGATTTTACTCTAAGATTATTTAATATGAAAATCTTAAGAAATGAGTTTAAGTCAAACCGATGTATGTAAATAATTTTTTAGTTTAAATAATGAAAATTGTTTGGTGAAAAATTTAATGTCATTTATTTTAAATATGAATATCCAATGTTGTGTCAACATTTGAACTTCAATCACTTGTATAAAATGTATGTGACTTAACGCTAATTTTTTTTTGTTATTCCATCAAAACACTTGTTAGGAACCTTGTAAGTTGTATTTCATTTTTAAGTCTTAGCTATTAAAATTAAAATTAAAAAAAACTTTACCACTAATTAATTCAAATATTTAAATAATTTTTATAAAAATTTGAAATTTAAACAAATATTTTTAAAAATGAGTATTCTTAATTTTTTTAAATTGTGACAAGAGTAATTTTTGACTAACCTTGTATAAAATGTTCTAGTGTTTCCTCCCAATACAAAAATTGTATTAAGCCAATATGTAAGATTATGCATAATTGAAAAAAAAACTAAGAAAATTAGACAGTTTCAAATATTTTTGGTCCCAAAAGTACCAGTTAGAATACATTTGCTACCTCAAGTCAACAGATCAAATATCTTGAATCGTGGATATCAGTATAAGACTATCCAGACTAGGGTAAAATACTTTTAAAAAGTATTTGGAATAAATCCTCAAATGCTTATGAAAAATAGTATTCAGAATATGTATTTAAATTTTGAATACTTCATGAAGAAAATATTCCAAATACTTTTTATATTTTGTTTATAAGTCATTATATTTCTTTATTTCAAATTAAAAATGTCAAATGTAAGGGAATATATTTTTTACACTACCTCTAATGAGTACTCTCCAACATATTGTAAGTCCACCAAAAAATATGAGTAAAATTAAATTAGGTATTTAACTCATAGGTATTAAAAATGTTCATAGAAATTTTTTTTAAGAACATCAGAAATTCAGAAGTATAATATTTGGACTTTTTTAATTATACTAGTTATAATTAAGTATAGTTTATTGATGTGACATTAAATATATATGAACACAATCTAAACACACTTATTCACCTGTATGCTTATAATAAAAATACTTTTAAAAGATAATTCAATTTTTTTTTTAAGTGAGGTATTTGGTTTTTGGTTTACGAAATTTAGTACTTTTTGGTTAACATAGTTGTACGCCTGTACTTCAGCGTGAAAGTCTTGATTCCATGTTTGCACCTTATCAAAACTTTTTAGTATACATGGGTATTTTAGGTTTTTATTTGTTCATTACATATTATGATGAATATCCTATTCCTTTACTTACTTTAACAAAGCATTAATTGCGTGCTTTAGGTCTGTGTATATTTTTTCTCAAAAACAAAGATATTTAAAGAATTAATTTGTCAGGGACTCATACTCCCGTCTCCGAGAAAATTCGAGTATAATATTCGGAACCTGTGTTTCCATAAAGTGTTTCAAAAAGATGATTTCGAAAATAATGTAGTTGGTTAGTTGGTTCCGTAGAATTGCTGTGAATAAGCTATCACAGCAACAGTCAGTCTATTATACGTAGTTAAAAATACTATACTCGTAGCAAATAGGAAGTTATAATATGATCGATATACAATAAAAATGAAATGCAGTCCTCTGGTAACCGCATCACATGAGAACGCTTGGACTGATTTGTCATTTATTTTTAATGTTTGTCATGGTCTGAATGTGGTTTTTACAGAAAGGAAAATTGAAAAGTTTCCCAGAATACTGAAAAAGACTTGGATTTAAAAATACTTTTTCATGTTATATTTAGAAGGAATTGTAATGTAAGAAGTGAATGGCATTTAGTATTTACTGAAATAAAATTGTGTCCACAATTAATGTCAAAAGTGTAAACATACATCGATGAGTTCCAGTGACTTTTTAAGCCCCTCTTAAGCCGATTGCTATAAACCTATAATATTTTGAGCACGTCAAAAGTATATGGTAAAAATATATACAGTTATGATAACAGAATCGATATTTCCGCCACCAGAGTACGATAATGAAAAAGTACCTACACAAAATATTATATTATAATATGCATTTGGGTTTGAATTAAAAAAAAAAATTATTTGTTAAGGATTTCTATCTCTGAAGTGTATCTATATTTATTTAATCATTTTACTACAAATAACAGAATAATCATGTGTTCATAGACACATCCGAAAACATAAAGGGTAATATAACAACATAGGCCTGAATATACATCGTATAAGGTCTATGAATAAAAATAATCAAATATTGTCAGGATAATTCGATAATAGCATATTGTCATATTTGTCCAAATTATAAACTATATTTATAATTATAGCAATTTTAAATTTTGTATGTGAACATTGGTTACTAAATACTAGGTTTGGCAATCACTTTTATCTTACGTAGCTAGTTGCTTAGGACATACTTTGTCGTTAAAATAATACATGTACTACTGTCTACTGTATTATTTACCTATTAAATAGCTAAACCTTATAATAATAATATTAAAGGAGCACATAACACAAAAAATAAGTTTTTTTTATTTGAAAGAATGTTCAATTCTAAGGATAATGGTATGGGTTTTACGTTTCTACTCACATTATTCAAAAAGTTATGAGCAATTGAAAAAAGACGTGTGACGTCACTGGGCCGGAGTCATCGTAATTGCCTATCTTATACGTGTAAAAGTTCCTCGCTTCACACAACGATTTATCAACCTATACATTTTCTTTTTAAAATTTAATTGACGTATAAATGTGTGGTTTTATATGTTTAAGACGATGCAAGAATCAGAATTTCAATATGACGTTTAGTTTTTTAAGTATTAAAAATCTTAAAACAGACATTTTGGTTAAACGGCGGACCCGTTTTTCGAACTCCGCGCGCCGCTCGCCATGACGTGCGGTTTAACCAAAATGTCTCTTTTAACCTCTATTAATATTCGTATTAATCTCTTAAAGTAATATTTTTTTTTACATCGTATCTTCACAAAATCATTTCATATAACCACAACTACAATAATTTAACATTAAAAAAAAAATGTAAAGAATTATTTTATTTGTGTTGTGTGCTCCTTTAAGAAACCTCAAGCATACCTAGTGTTTTAATTGTTTTAATTCATCTTTATTCAATATATATATATTACTCAAGTAAAAAGTGTTGGAATGGAAAAACGTGACAAAACAATGCAATATAACAGTACGTGAAATCTAAAATTCTAAAACGTATGTTTAGAAACCTAAAACCACATCGTGGGGGCACTAAACACATTTATTTTTGTTTCAACACTGGCATTTTTGACTAAATAATTACAATTATAGAAATGTAGTAAACTTCCAAGTTACTAATAAAATAAAATTTCACTATTTGCAGAATAATAACTTGTGGTAATACCATGAGACCATGGGTTAATTACTTTCAGAATACTTTTGAATATTTTTTAATCGTTAAATTTGAATTTTTAGAAAATGTCGTATAAATTGCCTATACCAAACCCCTCGTATATCCTGTACGTAATAATATAATATGTTATATATTATTTTAATATACCTAAATACTATATTTATTACAATTTACAATAGTTAATACATTTGAAGATGGTGTACATATACCTACTGTCTACTACATAACTAAATTGTCTCTATTGACAGTGAAAATGTACTTATTCAAGATGCCAAACATATCGTAAATGCATAAAACCCTGCCGTAGCCATTAACTTATTGGTATTCATCACCTGATATCATCAGTGCTGATATTCTCCCCAAGCAACCTTACATTACTTCTTTTTTATTGCAAGACTCTCATGTAGACAAATATTGAAATATATTAAATTTCAGGCATTATACTTTATATTTGTCATTACTTGCGTACATTCAGCATATATTCTATAGAATCAATTAATGTAAGCTATCATTGTTTGTATCATTCATGTATGTTACTATTCGATTAAATTATTTTTTGAAAACTTAAATGAATCAACGAAGAATAAAATACTTAAAGATATACTTTTCATCCAAAGATCACCTATAAAGTACTATGATGGTACGATTTAATCCGGTGGGGATATTTTGAACACATTTTTAAAACACTTTTTGATACAACGGATCAAAAAGTCTCTAAGAATCAAAATGTCCCGTTACGGTAATATAAAAACTTATAGTGATTCATTTCTAATAAATTAAATGCCTACAGATAAGATATGTTACCCGAGTGAAAAAATGTGTCAACATTTGAACTTTAAATGCCTATTTTCGTGATTTTTACGAATTTTGTCAAAAATCTAAATTCAAACGCTTACAATTGTGGATTTAGGCTCATTTTTTTTAAAATTTACACTAATAACAACGTACGAGGAACTTTGTATTACATTTTCAATTTTTTTTGACCGATCGAACATTTATTTTTATTGACATTTGTTTTAAAAAAAACTAATAATAATCGAAAATTTCATTTGCCTATAAATATTGCAACACACGACATATTTTGAAAATTTTATGCTGTATAGAAATGAGGATATAAACA